CCCCCCCCCCCTGGGCGCTCTCTCCATCACCAACCAAAGTTTTATCATGAACCTGACAAGATGCCGCGCCAGCAGCAGGAGCCGAGCCCATCAGGAGTCCATTATCAATTACCTGGGCTCAGCCTGAGCCCATATTCTGCTGGATTGATAGAGAGGCATTGATAGAGTTAAATGTCTTGTTCTGATGTCTTGCCTTAGCTCCACTCCATCCAGAACCCAACAAGCTGAACATTACGATACCTTGTGTTTAGGTATTCCAGTATTTTTCTTTCACGGACTGAATCATGGGATAAGTTAAACTTCCGGTTATAAACCCCGCATATTTAGATGTATATAAGCCTCCCGGTTAAAGATAAATCAGTTTGTATAAGAGACTCTGAATCACTAGGGTAAGATAAACTTCCGGTTATAAGCCCCTCAAAACAACCCCCTGTTTCATGTTTAGATGTATAAGCCCCCCGGTTAAAAATCAATCATTTTGTATCAGTCCCTAGGCACGGTACGGAACACATTCTTGCCATGAATGAATACCAAGGATAAGATAAAACTCCCTGAAAACTTCCCGTTGTTTAGAGAGCTTTAAATGTATAAGTTCCTCCAGTTAAATATCAATCAGTTTGTATCAGTTCCCAGTTTACAGTAAGCCAGTTTCATGGTACATTATTTCGGAACCGTCATAAGCTCACCGAAAACGCACCCCTTTGAAGGTGGAGGCTTTCCATTTCTAATTTCTGTTTCTAGGTGGTCCTAGAATGTTCTATGTTGACTCTATGTTTCATCTCAAATGCCGTGAAGTAGTCAAATGTCTTGAAATAGTTCATAATGATGTAACGTTGCTAAAAATATTGATAGAAGATTCTAGGCTATTACACAGTAACTATATAAGTAACAAAAGGCTTCGAGCCTGCTCACTTCTGATCAGTAGTAAAGTGATAGCTGTCATTCAGGCAAACAGAGTGGTTGAAACTGTAAGTTTTGTACTTTGCTTGTGACTACGCTCGGGTTTGCATCACTATCTCGGACTCTCCGAGCCCTCCTCGTGTTTAGATGAGGCTATGTTAACACGGAAGAGTGTTCTATTGCTTAAATATTGTAAAAAATGTTGTAAAATTCTAGAAAACTCGGGAAACTTCAGGAAAAACTCAGAAAATAACAAACCGAGAAAAGACCGGGGAGACTACGTCACATCACCTTTTATGGAAAATCAATGGCCGACAGCAGCGACCGGCTTAGTTTCTTCATACATTTGAGCCACGTGAATTTCGATTTGGCTAAGCGGTACTGCACGTCGCCTTAATTTAGTGAATTTTCCATTCCTAGGCCTTGTGAAAAGAGCGCAATGTCCGTTGTAGGGTTTGACGTTGGAAATGAGTCCTGTTTCGTGGCAGTTGCACGAGGCGGAGGAATCGAGACCATTGTCAATGAGTACAGTGACAGAAGCACGCCGTAAGTATTACAGATCATGAAATAAACTTTTTTGTGTAATCGCTCCTCGTTGATCACTTACAATCTAGAGATTATAAATGCCTGTGATGTATGTTCTCAAGTCAACACTCGTTTTGTGCGATAGAATAAAGAAGTTTGCGGAGTTTTGTGAAAGTAAGAACAACACTCTATGACCCATTCATGTCGCCTCATGAATGTTATCAAGCTTGGTTCAGCCGGGAGAAAATTATGTAATGAAAGCTTGCCTGCGATTTATTTTCCGTACAGGAGTGTCGTGTCGTTTGGGGAGACCACCAGGAGTATTGGTGTGGAAGGAAAAACTCAGGTGATAATGACGTTTTCCCTCTTTCGTTATTTCAACCTCACTTCCCGTATTTCATGCACAAGCGAATCAGTTTGAAATTAAAAGGAGCTGTACAACTGTACCTATGTATTGTGCACATGATCCGATTGTGCTCTTGGGAATTATATGCTCGCTAAAACTTTCATGCCTTTATATTTGATGTCTTTTAGATGATATTTAACTTGAAAAATACCGTGAGCCAGTTCAAGCGGCTTATCGGTCGGAAATTTAGCGATCCAGTTGTGCTGGAAGAGAAGAAACGATTTGCGTGTCAGCTGGTTGAAAGACCCGGAGATTGTATAGGTGTCAAAGTAAGTGTCTCGAAAAATCTCAAGCCTTTTGCAGTAATTTGACACGCAATTTGATTTAACAGTGGATGTAAGCTTGTATTTTTGCCGTGTACTCTGAAAGAAGATTAATTTTTCTGTATAATTAGTAATTATATAATAACACTGGTATCAATATAAGTTTCAACATAAATTATCTATAGAACATTTCAGAATGACTACCATGCAAGGACAAACTTTGAACTCTGCATAGCTTGGTTGCTAAATGTGCAAACATATACCTTATCATAAGCTAGCTTTAGCAATGCTGTTCAAGATTTTATGAAAAAGACTTTGAAACTTGGCTGTAGGTTGACTGATTAACTGCTTGAGTGAATTTTTGCAGTCTGCATTTATCACTACAAGAAGTAAGAACTCAGGCAACTATTTTTCGCTTTCTGTGCCATGGTTTTCCCTTAAATTATGCGCATGAACCACCATGTAAGGAAACCAGGGGACCTTCATAAGTACAGCAAGAAAATATTAATGGAAAACAGGGCATATTTTTTTTTTCTTGCCTTGACAGTTTTCTTGTTTACACAGCCAAATGTAGACACCTTAAAAGTTTGGGAGAATGAGTTTGAGTTATAAGCCAAAGCTCTCTGCAGGAGTTGACATGGACTTTCAGTTTCTCGCAAGATTGCGCATCAGTATTGTATACACGAATGTAATTAAGAGTAGTTATTTACCACAAAGGTGCAATGTGCTGTTCCAGACCACCCCACACCCCACCCCTCTAAAAGTAATTCCTGTTTAGATAGGTAAGCTTCGTTTTCTCCTTTTTGGCTTTGAACCCCTGCCCCCTCATGGAATTTCTGCTGACATTTGATGGGTACGGATATTTTCTTGAACCACACAATGATAAAGACAACCAATTTTACGATGCTTAACACATCTGTACAATTTGTAATTTTTGTAGGTGCGTTATTTAGAGAATGAGGAAGTTTTTTCACCAGAGCAGATTATGGCAATGCTACTGACAAAGCTAAAGATCATATCTGAGAAAGAATTAGCCACAAAAGTCACAGACTGTGTTGTTTCTGTAAGTATTTTAAATCTCATATCATGTACATAATTATATACATGCTATACACTTCCTATTTACTTTGCTTTGTCTGAATTTAAAGATGTGTATTAATTTGATCGAATAATGAGTTGCTTGTGAAAGCATTTGAAAAGAACTTGATTGTAAGTACTGTCAATCAACATTTCGATGCATCAAGCATCATTCTCAAGACTAAGGTTGTTCATGCTAATGTCAAAGTTGATATTAGCATTAATGACCTTAGTCTTGAGAATGATGTTCACACAGTAGTTTTTGTTACTTTGGCAGAACCTAAGATCTCTTTTGTTTTTTCTAAGTTTTCTTTCTTTTTTGACAAAATTATGAAATGATTTCTCATCCAGAGTAATATTAAAAACAGAATTTTCCAGAATGTTCCAGGATGTTCTTATAAGTCACTCCTGAATAACTTCTTGTTCTGCACTGTTCTATAGACATTTCTGGAAATTTTAGGTATAGAGACAATTTTTCGTAGGACTAAATTGAGGAATACTGCAACAATGTACCTGAAGTTCTTAAGGAATAGTATTAAATGATCTACATACCTGAAGTCACTTGACGATGGTGTTGTTTCAGGTTCCTTGTTACTACACCGACAGACAGAGAAGAGCAATGTTAGATGCAGTGTCTATGGCAGGACTGAATTGTCTGAGACTCATGAACGACACCACAGCAGGTAAATAGAACACTTGTTTCTATATCACATCTACTCTCTCTCAAATATATGTCTCAGCTTGTCTATAATGTACAACAGCCACCCAAGGGCAGGATTATTCGGCCATTCTTGCAAGTTAGCCATTTCGTGATGGGTCTCAATCTGGGGAATCTGTGTTAATTGTTTCAGCACACCCTTCACTGAGGCCTCATGCACACAACTTATGGTGCAATGTCATGCTACTTCATGCATCAAGTGTGCATGTTTGAATTTCTTAATGAATTAATTTCATCTTTAATTTTCAAGAAAATCATTTGTGTGTACAGTCGAACCTTGATTATCTGGACTCTTCGGGACCTTGGTAAATAGTCCAGATAATCAAGAGTCTGGATAATCGAAAACATGTTTATTAATGAGATAGAAATGTAAATAACAAAAGGTATACCGGAAAGAAAACATCATTTTAATTGTGAAATCTGCACAGCCTGTATGTATTTACAAATAAAAACTTTCAGTTCAGGTATTTACAAAGGTCTAAAATGTTCAAGCATGTTTGTTTGCTTCAAAGACTTGTAGCTTGATCAGGGCTTTCGTTTTAATCCTTCACTTGTCTTGATGCTGTCAGTAAATTTTAGGATCTTGTCTTTGTTCTTCCATATGTCAGAGATCTGCTGCTTGCTGATGCCAAATTCTTGAGCTAAATTTGTTCCTTTCTCTCCTTTATCCAAACATGAAATAATTATCTGCTTATCTGTAATCGATAGAACAGCTCGCTTTTGCTTCGTAGACATGTTTTTAATTAATTTGAGTTTACGGTCGATCGCTCGTGTGTTTACATAAACCATGAGGAAGGAACTAATCAAGCATGAAATTCCTTTGGTAACAAAACAATTGAGCCAATCAGATATCAGCTGAACGCATCAGAATATTTCTTTGTCTCGTCGCACTTGCGAATTTTGAAAAGTGCACGGGATAATACGCTGTTTCAACAGTCTTTTGAAAGGATTATTGGGCTTTTTGCTACTTTGAGTTTTCAAGATCACAACTAATTAATATTCATGAAAAAATTGGGACCAGAGAAAAAAGTCCAAATAATCGAATAGTCGGGATAATCAAGGTCCGGATAATCGAGGTTTGACTGTACCATGAAATGATTGTCCTATTTTCTTCTTTTAGTTGCCCTAGCATATGGCATCTACAAACAAGATCTACCCACTGATAAACCAAGGAATGTAGTGTTTGTTGACATGGGCCACTCGTCTGTTCAGGTGTCCGCCTGCGCATTCTTGAAAGGACAGGTCAAGGTTTGTTGCTTCACTTTCACTTCACTTGTGTCTACAATCTCCAGGAAGTAATGGGCTGGCAAGGTTTGTTACAGTGGAGGTGCACTGGCCTCATGGTTAGAGCTCTTGCCTCCAGATCAAGTGCTGGCTGGGTTCAAGCGCTGGCCAGGGCTATTGTGTTGTGTTCTTGGGCAAGGCATTTTACTCTGACTGTGCCTCTCTCCACCCAGGTGTATAAATGGGTACCGGCGAATTTAATGGTAGGGGTAACCCTGCGATAGAGGTAGCCCTGGGATGGACTAGCATCCCATCCAGGGAGAAGTAGAAGTCTCATAGTCGCTTCATGCTACAGAAACCGGGATAAGCTCCAGCAGCTATCAGCCAGTCGGCTCCAAGTCTTCACTTTATGTGATAATTATTCTTACCACAGTTCAGTGAAGCTCTTCTGAAATAATTTTATTTTCAAAGAAACGAGGACTNGAGGTAGAAAAACTCCTAGTTGTCCATGCTACAGAAACTGGAGATAAGCGCCTGCCTGGTGGGCCACTTGGCTCATATGCCCACTTTACCTTAACCTTTTTAAGGCTTGCCACACCATACTAAAAATGTAGCGGAACCCTTATTGAGGCAATGTGCAAGTTTCTTTTTTTCTTTTAATTTCTAGATTTGGCTCACTTTTGCAGATATTCTTTATAATGATGGACCTTAATGTAATTAAGTAACATTATCTTGGGAAGGAAATGTTGGTAGATCTTTTCTGTAAATTACTTTCTGTACAGGTACTAGCCACAGCTGCTGACCCAAACCTTGGAGGAAGAAATTTTGATGAAATTTTGATGGATCATTTTGTGGAGGATTTCAAAGTAAGTTGAACCTGGCAATAGTGGTCAAAACTACTGAGTCATGTTAATTCTTTGCTATGTACAATAATTCTAGAAGAATAAGATAAATTACTTTTCTTCACTTTGACAGCAAAGGTACAAATTGGATGTTTCTACAAATGCCAAAGCTGGTATCCGTCTCATTCGTGAGTGCGAGAAGATGAAAAAATTGATGAGTGCCAACTCCCAAGAAATTCCAATGCATGTGGAGTGCATTATGGAGGAAAGAGATGTCTCAGGAAGATTCAAGAGGTACTACATGTACTTTAGATGTATGTGTGTTTGGTAATACTTGTATCCTAAATGAAAAAGGAAAAGACAAATTAGAGAAAAATGTCTGACTCACTAGCACAAAATAATGTTTCCCTTTGGCAACCAAAACTCTCTGATTACCAACAGCTGATGCAAAAAAATGTCTATTCAAATAATTGTTGTTAGTAGTTAAATTGTTTTTGTATTAACCAATATTGTTTTTGTCTTAGAGATGATTTTGAAGAGAAGATAGCTAGTCTGCTGTTACGGCTGGAAGCAACACTAAAAGCATTGTTGGAAAAATCAGGTAATGATTACATACTGTAATGAACATGACACTTTAATTAGTATTACAAGCTGTAGGTGTACATTGTAACATATTGTACACGAAGGCATGCCGATATCATGGTGTTGGACTTTGGGGTCAAATCAAGATGTTAAAAACTTGTTAGAGGGGTCATGTTGTTTTCTTGTTCTATGCAACACTTCACCATCTTTGCAACACTTCACCATTATAGCTGTAAACATTGACAGTACATTAAAGTTTGAATTGCCTGCAAGAGCATTCCTACCTTCCTTGTACATTGTACACCTACATGTAAGTCATTAAATAGACTGGTGGAGCCAAAGCATCCTGCTGAGTCAAACCCTGACTCCATTTTGATAAGAAACTCTAACCTAGTATCTAGCCATCTAAATGAAAGCTCATACAGTACTGTTTCTGTATGGCACAGGATGTTAGTGTGTTCATTTTTGGTATATGAATCATGAAAATTAATTGCATGGCCATGAAATTGTTTGCTAATTTATTTCAGGGCTGAAGCTTGCAGACATAGAGGCAGTGGAAGTTGTTGGGGGTTCCACCCGCATTCCTGTTATAAAAAGTATGATAACAAAAGTATTTGAGAAGGAAGTCAGCACAACGCTGAATGCTGATGAGGCTGTGGCTCGTGGCTGTGCCTTGCAGTGTGCCATGCTATCACCAACCTTCAGAGTGCGAGAGTTTGTGGTCAATGATGCAACACCCTATCCTATTGTCCTTACATGGAAGTCAGAGAACACTGAAGATGAAGGGTACGACGGGTGTTTGTGTCTGCTGGTTTCTTCGTTTGTGTTTTGAAAAATGTGAACACTTGATGATGACAATGTTAAAATCAAATTGACGTGATGAAGGAATTACCAGTGTACAACCTACACGTATAGAAAAAAAGGAACTTGAGACATTTTGAGTTGCATTAATAAGCTCTTACTAAGCAAGAGTGAGGGCATTCCAGGGGGAAAACGTTCCAAGGTCATAGCAGTATGAACCAAGCACAGTGAGGTCTGTACAAAAAACAACTGAAGACCAATATACATCAGTATTAACGCTCTCGCGTTTAGTTAGTAGTAAGACCCAAAATTAAAAAAATGCACAGCTTTTGACCATTTTCATGGAAATGGCCCTTATGGCAAAATCCTGACAAAGAATGAAGCAATCAAGATGCTTGGATTAAATAATAATAATTATTGTAATAACACTTTATTTTATGAGGGTAACATTGATTACTGATAACTCGGTAGTTTATGTAATGGCCCTCCTTAAGCTAATCTAAAACCAGAGTGTTAACCTACTGTAAAGTAACATAGTCTTATCTTGAGACTAAAATAGTCGCACCTCGAGACTACCTTGCCATATAATAGTAAGGGTTAAATACATGTTGAAGTTTATCATCAGATGTTATGAATTCTTGAGCTGATTTTCAATTTGTTTGTTTTAGGGAGATGGAGGTATTTGCTGTTAACCATGCTTTCCCTTTCTCAAAGATGCTGACATTTTATCGAAAAGAACCATTTGATTTAGAAGCAGGCTATGGCAAAAATGTCAATCTTCCATTAAAAGATGGATTTATTGGTAAGTTAAAATTGACAGTAGAGGCTAAATATGTTATGACAGGATTCAAATCCAAAAGAAGATTTGAAAAATCAGCCATTGCGGTTCAGGTTCTCCAAAAAACATAAAACTTGGTCAAATTCATGTTGTTGTATTGCAGATGATACATGTAGGTAAGAAATGTACTAATATTCAAAGCACACATGCAGAACCATTGTTCTCAGCTCATTAAGTCTTTGTTGGTGATGTTCTTGTTGGCATTGCCATCACAGTTTACTAAAGCTCCCTAATCTACCCTGCAACCAGGGTCATCAATGGGTCATGTGTGAATGGCAATATGCCACAAAAACCAGCAGTCATCAAGCAATGCGAGCTCCCGGCGCAAGCTGTCTGGGAGCCTTACCTCCATGGCTGCGCACTAGCTTGCAGAGGACTCAAACTTGGGCCTGCTTGCAGGCTGTTGTTCAGCATTCCTGTATGTATTTTTTAGGGCGTTTTTCAATCAAAGATGTTGTGCCTAGTAAAGAGGGTGAGTCATCAAAGGTTAAGGTCAAAGTTCGTCTAGACATCCATGGAGTGTTGAATGTTGTCAATGCGAGCTTAGTGGAAAAACTTGCAGTAGCCCCAGATCCTGAAGAGGAGTCCATGGAAGTGGAGGGACAAGATGAAAAAGCAAAGGAAACAACTGGTGATGCCGCTAGTGAGGTAGAGTTGCTAGACTTATTGAGGCTTCCCATGCGTATAACATTTATTGCAGTATGGAAAACCTTGTGTATTGTTCATTGATGCAAGTAAGAGTATTTTTATCTTAGAATTCCCAAGGAGCAGAGGAAGCTAGTGACTCACAAGAAAAAACAGCTGGTGAAGAACCCATGGATACAACAGCAGAGGTAAGGTATACACTTACGCATGCTCTCTAGCTCGCGGCTAACTGACAGTCAAGTCACCGTATGGCCAGTATGAAAGGTTAAGCAAACTGGCCAGGGATGGAATGTTCAAAAGCCAGTTAACACTAACCCAAGATTGTAAGGTAGCCAAGGTATCAATTTTCTTTGTATAAAGATGTTTTTCACTGCTTATGCTTTGAGTAGTTTGAGGTTACTTGAGCTCAGAACTGAAGGACAAATGATGTACCAGTAAATAGCAATTCATGCAAAAAAAAAAAAATACAAAACTGAAATCAAAATTTTCTCTTACCCTGGGTTAGCTTAATCGGACTCTGAATAAATCAACTCAGCGCTACAGCGTTTTGTTCTTCAGCAAGAGACTTAACTGAGAGAGTGCCTTTCACTGTCCAGGAAACTCTCCTGGACAGTGAGAGTTTGTTGAACAATTGTAAGCACAAAGTTAATTGAGGTGGCCAGTGGATAAATAAATCGGTACTACAATGCTGATGAATGAATGAGAAGGATAGCTGTAGCTTGAGGTCTCTCTTTCCATATCATTCTGACTCAACATATATATTTATATATGTTCCTCATCTGCAGTCACCCGAATCAAAGGAACAGAAAAATGACTCCAACAACAAGGAGAGTGAAGCAAAAAATGCCAAGGAAAGCAAAAGCAAAAAAGACAATGGTGCCCCTGCAAAGAAAAAGAAGCAGCAAGTTAAAACAGTTGAACTACGAGTGGAAACAATAGTTCCTGGACTGACCCGCGCCCAGCTTCAGGAAGCAATAGACAGAGAGGTTTGTGGTGGCTGTTAATTTATCACGCCCCAGTTTACAGGGCTTCAGCTGTACAAGAAGCTCCTTCTTATTTACCCCCTTTTTTTACTCCATCAGATGTGATGCAAAACAAACTACTTTTTGTTTTGTTTTGCAAGGAGCTAAGCCCCGAGAAGAAAGACTTCACTTTCTAACTTCCTAGCCCCACCCTTCCCTTTGCTAGCCTGTAACACTGACAAAGCAGCAAGAAAATTTAAACACAATGGCACAATTATACTTTTTTTGCAGTGTCAAATGATCATTCAAGACCGTCTAGAGAAAGAGAAAGGAATAGCAAAGAATGCTGTGGAATCTTACGTGTATGACATGAGAGGAAAACTGTATGGCGAGCTGGAGAAATTCATCACAGAGGAGGTGTGTTCTACTCTCTACCAGTAGTGATCAATTCGTACAATACATGTTTAACCTGTCCAGTCTGTCAAACAGTGGAATCGGCGTGAAGGGCCGTAGGACGAAGAATTTTGGAACCTTTTTTATTTGATAAAAAGTAAAGAATTTATCGCTTAGAGCGGTTTTCTATTGAGTGCCGTAAAACCAAAATCAAAGTAATCACTAGCCAATCACAAAGGACACAGTCAGTGAACCAATCAAAACTCGAAGAGAAAACATGTAGTTGAAGCAAAGCGCGGGAAAAAAGAGTAAGAGTTAGTCACGATTGGTTTTGGTTTTTCTTTCTGATTGGATGAAAAAGTGGCGCGAGTTTTTTAGGTCAATCGTGTAGCGTACTTAGTGCAAACCAAGTATGTTTCGACACTCGAATGAAAATCGCTCCAATGTCTTTCATTTGAATGGTCATACATTAAAATTTCAGCTAAACATTACAAGTTAGAACCATCTTTACGCAATGATAAAACAGTGCCACGAGAAAGTACTGTTCAAGAGCATCCAAACCTCTTCACAGCGGCCACCTTGGGGATAGAGAAAGTGGTCGTCGTGGGGAGGTAGGTGTGTAGTATGCCCCTGGTTTTTTTTTTTTTTTTTTTTTTTTTTTTTTTTTTNCCCACTATTTCGGCGGACAATTTCGAAAAAGAAAACCTTGACAGTTTGGCGTTCTTCCTTTCCCACTGCCACAAAGGTACGCTTTTTTTTTTTTTTTTTTTTTTTGAGGTGCAAAACCTTCTTTAAAAAAAGGGCATATTTTGGCATATAATTTATATACCTGACACAATCAAAACAGAACATCGACGCGCTGTACTCAATTTTTGTGATCTTTTACTATTAAACAAAAAAAATGGGGTTTTGTATACACCGTTCATCAGTCAATGATAAGCTGGCCATTGTCGAGAGGGTGTTTTTTTGCACTCGGGATGCGATTTGGTGGCCGTTGCCGTTGAGGAGAGGTAGTCGTTGTAGAGAGGTTGAAATAAGAGTGAATGTATGGACTGTCCGCCGGGACCAAAACCAAAATGGCCGTTGTAGAGAAGTGACGTTTGTGGAGGTTGGACTGTGCTCATATAAGCTAATCATCCCTCACTAATGAGTCAGTACTAGTCTACCACAACATACGACCACCCTGTACAGCGTACTGAACAGTACTACAATGTAAGGACTGAGAACTTCCATTTGTTTATCGCCTATTTGTTACCTTTCATAGGCAAGAGACAAATTTTCGACTTTGCTTGAGGAAACAGAAGAATGGCTGTATGAAGATGGCGAAAATCAGTCTAAAAAGGTTTACCAAGACAAACTGGCGACACTAAAGGTATTAAAATGTGAGAAATATCTAATAGATTGTTCGTTTGTCTGTATTTGAGAAAGGTCGCTCACACAACCAGAAGCGAGATTCTCATCTCAGGAGAAGTGAAAGCTCAAAAAAAAAAAAAATGTTGAAATGTTGTTATTTATAGTGGTCAATGTGCCTAGGTACACTTTGCTAGTTCACAGGCATGCCACTTAAACTGAAAGAAATAAATATATATGAACTAAACATAATAGGCTTAAAAATACCAACTGGCGGGAGGCAGACCAGTTGGCTGTTTAAAAGCGTGACTTAAGGAGTTAAACTAGGGTCTACCGAGAAACAACTCCAGCTTAGTGGTCAGAGCGGGACTTGAACCCGCCACCTTCGGATTTTAATTCCGGCTCCCTAACCATTCGGCCACGCTGCCTCCATACAGCAGAATGAAGGTCAGTTGATGATCGTGCTACAGCCGTGTTTTCACTAACCTCCCCTGCGATGATCAACTGCAGTGTGACTGGAGAACCCTCTTGAAACAGTTAACCTGCATCACAACAGAAGTGTTCTGGGAAACTTTCTTTTTGTATACGAGGGAGAGTTATCCCAAAATCATACTACCGCCATTTTCATATTCTACTGTTTACATTGGACACATTTAGTACAATAAAATATTTCAAATTTTCAAGCCACTAATTTATGCTCTAACTTTCTCAAAATTGTTTTTCTCATGTAGAAAGTAGGAGATCCAGTGGAGACAAGATGCACAGAATCTGTGAAAAGACCGGCAGCATTCGAAGAACTTGGAAAGAGTCTACAGCAGATTAGAAAAATTCTTGAGCTCTGCGAACAGAAGGTAAGTTCTGTTAACGTAGAATGAATTGTAGGCTTTGTGGTTCGCTAGAACTTAAGTTTGGTCTGCAATTCATCCATGCCTTTACTGCACAGCGCAGCACTGGATTGCGCTGCGCTGTACTGCGCTGTGCTGCACTTCACTGCACTGTATCAAACTGTAATAGGCCACTCAACTCGATAAAACAAACCGCGGCAAAAGTGGCGCAAACCAAACGCTTGTTGGTTGTGGTCTCACACGTGACTTGAAAACGACTTCTTGATTGATCAGAGTATATATTTATGTAAAGATCGTTTGTTTGAAGCAGTGAAATGGCGTAGCAAACACAGTAGTTCTGTCTAGCGCGGGAAACCATGGTCAAGGGCGGGAAAACAGGCAACCTTTGCCGAGCGCGGAAAAACATGTAACCTGTGCCAAGCGCGGGAAAACATGCAACCTGTGCCAAGCGCGGGAAAACATGCAACTGTTGTCAAGCACGGGACAACGCGCTTAAGCCAAGTAGTTTTGCTCCTTGGATGGAGGCTGGCAAGAAAACCTAGCATATTTCTCAGAAGAGAAACTCAAAATTTCGTTTTACTTAAATTTTCATTTTACTTAACAGGATGAAAAATACGATCATATTGAAGCAGAGGAAATCAAAAAGGTCGTGGAAGCTGTGAAAGCTAAGGACGAGTGGCTTAATAGTAAATGGAGCGCACAGAACAAGCTTGCTGATCATCAAGATCCTGCTGTCTACGCGTCTGTTATCCTCTCAGAGAAAAAGGTAAATGCTTGCCGACATATTCGTGCTTTGGTTCTTCCAGAGCGATTTTCAATATGCAATATTCGTGTTCTCGGTATTGGCCTGGAACTAGCTTGCAGTTGAGGCTAATGCGGGGAGTCTTTTCAAATGCAAATGACATTAATCTCTTTTTAATGATATTCACCCGCACGAGCCTCCATTGCAAGCTAGTTCCAGTCCAATACCGAGAACACGAATATGGTCAATTGCGTGTCGAAAGTAATCAGGCAATTCCTTTGGGTTTGGTTTTACTACGGCTCGAGATTGACTGTGTAGTCTAATTGGTAAGTAATTGGGACATGGTTAGTTTTGGTTTTACGACAATCAATTGAAAGCCGCTCTATTTGGTTTCACCCTCTGTCGTTAAACAAAATCGAAACAGTTCAGTTACGTCAGATGGTGGCCATCACAACAAGGCCTTGGTGTGGATGGGTGAGAGGTGGGGGAGGGTGGGGGAGGTGAGGGCGCAGTCAATTGATTACGTCACACGCCCAAAATTTACCTCCAAGCGTCGTTTGCAAGAAATTTTCTAAAACCTCCACCACCTTCGTGTTGTTTTCACGAGGGTGTTATTTTCATCTTTGCTGCCTCGGAAATTTTTGCACGGTTAAATTGGCAAGTTGTATTTTCAGAGCGAAGCTTGCTGGTGGCATCATGTATAAGAACTGAAAACATAAGCATTCGAGAGTTTGCAGAGTCACCATTAATTCTGATGTCGATTCTTTGTTTTTACAGCTATTGGAAGACACTTGTTATACGATTTTAAACTCACCGAAACCAAAACCAAAAGTCGAACCACCACCACCCCCAAAGGAGGAAGAGAAGAAGCAAGATGGCGCCGAAGAGTCGACCAACGAAGAAAAAATGGAACAAGATGGAGGCAATGCAGAGAAAACTACTGAACAACAAGGAGAGCAAGACGACGAGGGAAAGAAATTTGATCCCGATATGGATATTGATTGACGCTAGAGAACCGCTATAGAGATTATAACAAAGAAAAGAGAAAGGGATTTCACAGTCCACGTTATTGCCCGGGTTCTTCAGCAATTTTGTTCCCTTCACGTTTAGAAGGCTTAAGGAGAATTGATAGTCAAGAATGGGACTTTAGTTCTGAGCACTTTGCCTCGGATATGCGCATTTTACGGTTTTCGTTACCGCAAGCAGCTCAAAGTATGAATTCTCCTTGACGGTTACCTTGTGATTCTTTCGGTCATTGTTGGGAGAATTTGATGATAATGCGCAAAGTTGATGTGCAATGTCCGAGGCAATTTAGGTCACATGTTCACAATATCGAAAACGGTTTATTAGTCTGAATTGTCACTACACTTTGTAGTTTTGAAGTAATAAATTATTGTTTAATTGTTTGCCACTTGTCAGTGCAAGGTTAGTTACCGTAATGATTCGATTTAGCGCCCTCCTTCCAATAAGCGCCCCCTTTCGAATAAGCGCCGCCCCTCAAATGTGTTTTTATTAATAAGCGCCCCTATTCTAATATTGAAATAATACAGCGTCCTCTCAGTACTTATCAACGGAGGTTCATTTTACTCAATTGTTCGCATACTTAATGCTGCATTACAAACACAGTGGCCTTCGTCTGAGTTTCTCAACTATTATGCCCATGTGAGTGCATAATTCCTTCAAACGAACGATCTCGTCTTCAAGTTTAGTTTTGAACATTTGGTTGTTTCTCAGAAAAGAAGTAACCTGAGCGCCCTGTCTCGAATAAGCGCCCTCCCTTGAGGTACCAAAAGTAAATAAGCGCCCCGGGCGCTAAATCGAATCATTACGGTACATGCATTTGCAGCTGAAACTTTCCTTTCTCGGCATATTTTTCTTTCAAGGTGAACACTTATTTTATCTCCCCATTAAAAAAGAAGAGTTAGATGGAAATGAGCTAGATTACAAAAGCAGGAAAAAGCAAAAGTGAAAGCGTGACTGAGTTTTAGTGCATTTTTGACCTTGACGCGCAAACATTTTGTGTTTTGAACGCTTAGAAGGCTTGAAATAAATAAAGTTAGTGGCTGAGCTACGCCTAAACACCAGAGTGTCCCTCTCTTGTTGTCTTGTTTAGTTACTGTTATCGGAGAGAATCTTGAAGGTTGTTAATGGCACATTTCGTTAATAAAGTTATTAGAAAACGAAATATTTAAGACCTACTAAAGTCCATTCAAATGGGAGGGAACTTCAAAATAATCTCGGCCAATGTGTAAAAACACCAATAAAGTAATTAACAACAATGAATTTACAATCGATGATTATGGCCTATCAAGATTAAGGCGGATTACAAACTTGTAAAAATTGGTCGGTTTTCGAAGACGTGTCTTCGCGACGAGCTCAGATTGTGAAGATAGAGACCCTGTTCTTTCTCTTAGTAGGTCACGGGATAAATTCGCAACTTGTCCAAGATATCTTGATAACTTGGAACATAGGAGCTGACAAAACCGTGACGGAAATTCTACCGCGTTTGACCTCAGTAAGCCAACATTGAGCCATTCCTCGTAAGATCTGAATCTCAATTAAAAAGAGCAACTCCCATAAACATCACTGACATAGGACATAAAATTGGTGTTTGTACTTTTCATGCTACTTCCCGTTCTCTCTCTGTGATTCTCCCACGGAAGAATTTCGTGAAATGGCGCCAGGATAACGAAAAAATTTCACCCGGTCATTTCAAGGGCGAGTGGATTGGATTTCGTCAGATTAGAAGCAATATCGAATGTCGCACGGTTCAAAATTTAGATTTGCTCAACAAACGTTGAATCACGCACGGTTAAACGATTTGTTATTACGTTCCAGTTGTTCGTCTGTTTTTATTCCTCTCGGCCCATCGTAATTCATTAGAATTCTCTGAATCGAAAGCACAGCAGGATACCGTATAAGGTGCAAGATCTTAAGAGTTTTAAAACTGAAGGGGCAACATGGAAAGGAAACTCGAATAAGATAAACACAAACCAAAGCCACATCGCATGGATTTGAACACGACGGACTCGATTTCAATAAACGCTACAAAAGCTTCTTCGCTTTTGAAAGGCGGCGGGCAACGTGAGCTCATTTACAAAATATACTTGACAAGAGGTATACTCGCTATTCCAATGGCGTTGATCACAGCTTTCTCCAACGGTCTCGTGATTTTTCTGTTTCTGAAAGATCCAAAAAAATGTCTTCGCTCATCCCCAACAAGCCTTCTTGTCGCTAGCCTGGCTCTGGTGGATTTCCTGGTGGGAAGTGCCCTGGAGCCCATAGATGCTTACTTCCATCTTTCCGTGGCTTTTGGAAGGAAGCAACAATCTATCCAAAAAAAAGACTTGCAGAGTGCCGCAGCATATCTCCTTCTCTGCTCCATGCTTCTCTTCATGCTGATAACGTTCGACCGACATACAGCAGTGTCGCGACCTATCCAGTACTCTCTAAGAATCACCAAGAAAAGAGTTTACATATGTGTGACCTGTGTGTGGATTTACTGTGCCTTGCTCATCTTTGCAATACGACAATGGGGAGAAGATTTCAGAAATGAGATTTTCTGCGTTCATGTTGACGTAGTCGTGATCGTCGCCACTGTCCTTTTCTGTAACATCGTCTACAAACTTAGAAAACATACTCGCACCTTAAGGAGAATGAGTATACACTCGGGCACGATCGAAGATGATGTGTTTGTTACTCGAGCGTCGATGCGCGAACGCAAAATAACATGGACCCTCTCACTTACGCTTGTGGTTTTCCTCGCGTGTACCATGCCCTGGTTTCTGATGATGCAGATTTTTGGCTACTGTAAAATTTGCCAAAAAAATTGGTGGGTCATGAAACTGTTGTTTATTTTGTTCCAGGCCAATTGCGCTTTCAATCCGTTCTTGTGTACTCTCCGCATGCCGCCGTACCAGTTGGCGCTCAAATGTATTTTATCACGGTGGACATTTTCCCGCCGTTTCTACACTTCAGTATGGCCAACAAGGGGAACGTATCACCTACAAAGACGGCAGACAGAATCTAACATCCCCACAAGCAGAAAAGAAGGATCTAGCTCAAGTAACTCGCAGTTACCAGCCGTCTTGCAACTGACTAATTTCAAAAACTAAAGAACGCCATTTCATGGTTTTTTGTTGAGTTGTAAACTCTTGCTACTTGCAATAATCGCTTTTCCTGAATAAAAGCATTTTTTTACCGGAAATCTTAAGACGTTGCGGGGATTCAAGAGATATATCATTTCCACGACCCAGTTGAAATGATAATATCACAAAACTGCAAAGCAAGATCGGGAAAACTGCTTAGGAAGTTGAAAAATCAAGTGAAGGCTCATAATTTTCGGGAAGAACTTCTTACTCAAACATATTCCTGCATATTGCTGAAACGTGCAGCTTATCTGTGGCAAGGGACCTCAGTGCCAAACAATGCCAGTTATGTGACAAGTGCTTTTGGATGTGTATGATAGTTTTCTGTCATTACGAAAGAAAGAATTCTCAAGCGAAACTTTTTAGATAATTTTTTAAGTGGATAGGGATAGTGGACAGGAATCAAGTGCTGTTTTCCCGGAAATTCTTACTGAGAGGAAAAGCAGCTGAGAAGTTGAACGTGATAAAGCTCGCACGTTCGCTGCGGTTAATTTAGTAACGGTGTTTTGACAGATTTTCACTGTTAAAATAATACCGTTGTCCTTTTAACTTAACATTTAGACCTGGTTTTAGACAATCGGGGGGATTATTAACGGTGTCGTTTTTCAGATGACATCAGTAGCGGTGGTCTCACGTACGAAAGAGATCCACTTGTTTTAAGTTTGAAAGATATTTTCTCTATTCATGTTAAATTTTGTACAGTTTATAAATTATGGTACGTACAAACCGAGTTTTTTATTTTTCATTTTAAATCTTTAATCTAACCTTAAAGTCGAGAGAAATCTTTTCGGATCTCTTTAGTTCAATTATGTATCAAGTTGTTCTGTGGGATTTAGACAATGATTACACTGACATCAGGCAACGCATGTCAAGTCAAGATAAATAAGGACTTTTTTAGTAAAAGACAATGCAAGTTATCTCAAGCAATTATTTTTTTTGGCAGTAAGTTAATTAAGGTTTGTGTTTGTGTTGAATTTGAGTTACAAACGAGATTAACAATGGGTTTACCATGTTCACATCCGGCTGTTAAGAGAATGGCGACTGACTAGAAAACTGTCGGGTTACTTCAGTCTCCAGACTCAAATTGTACATTTTTTCTGTTCTTCTATATATATAAATATTTTATTTTGAAGACTGTAAATGTATGAGTGAATAAAGTCGTTGTTGTTTAAACCCGGGGTCAAGTTCAATGACGAAACAATTAAGGGAAACAAAAGAATTCCGAATTTGTTTATTTCCAAGTTCTGTTGGAACAAGTTCAATTGAGTTTGAATGGAGTAGAGTTGTGTGGGGCATTGCATAAAACTATCACGATTCGTATTTCGAAAAGTATACAAGAGTTTCAAGTATTATTTATGTTACATCCGTGCATAACTAATTATTAGAGAAGCCTGATTCATTTAATCAGTGTGTAATACTTTATTGATATTTTGGCTCTGTATAACTAATATTTTTAGTTTGACTCAGAACGAAGGTTAACAGGAACGGCAAACTTTGTGAAACTAATATCTGCCTGGACCCGGATGTCAATAATGATGTGTGCATATTTGTAATCATTTCAAAATCAAAGGTTGTTAATTGTTTTCAAAAATGCGCATCGAGGTTTGATCCTTGGCCCCCAGAATACGTCATCAGTTACTCAGCAACGGCTATGAGACGACGATGTTACCTCAGGTAGTTGTTGATGAAAAGAACAGTACAATTGTGCTGGCCTCTGTGGAGAGGTGGTTATTATTGGGAGATTAAGATAAGGGAAACTCTCTTGACTGGGACGAAAATATGTGGCCGCAATAGGCCGTTGTGCGGAGGTCGCTGTTAGTAAAGGTTCGACTGTATTAATATTATTTTGAAAGTGTTGATGTGTAAACAAGAGATTATGATCCTGCGTATAAATTATTCTCTGGCTGGAAAAGGGGGCAGGGTCGAGGATATCTCGCGCTGTTTCCACCCTAGCCTGGCCCTCAATCTCTTCTCGGTTTGTTTGCAGGCCCGCCGATGGCCTGTTTTGTCCTTAGCTTTTCCTAATTTGATAGTTCGTTCTGATAGGCTGGGGTTTTTTATGAATTCCGTTTTTGGCTGATACTTTCCTCTAAAAAGATACAATTCAAAGGGACTGTTTTAAATATACCGGCAAACCAGAGTCCTTTAAAGTTAAAATGGTTCCTCCTCATGTAAATGAACTTGAATTCTGTTAGTCTGTTCACAGACTTTTCCATTTTCAACTTAAAATCGTCAAGGACATAAACCTCCTTACGAGCAAAATAAAAACCGAGGGAGGCTGAAGAAAGTCGCTTTCATGCTCCTCGCCGCTCTCAAACGCTCGGCGCTTACATTAAAGAACAAAAAAGTGGGCCGTCAGACAGAGTGGAATTCTGTCAATAGTAATCAGAATTTCATGTGAACTAAGCAGGTTGCTATTATTGAAACAGTAAAAAAAACATCCTCGGGCAAAGTCATTTCTGTCACTAGAGACGAAATTCAATTAGTAACCTAAAATTAAAAGAAATTGTAAAAATATTATACCCCGATCATGAACGTGGACAAAAAATGGTAGAAGGAGATTGGTTTCATAACGTTTGTGGTTTCCTTTAAATTAAGCTTTCTTTACATTACATTTTCCTGTAAAAGCAAAATTTTGGTTTATGTAGAAGTAACAATATATTTTTGGTAAAATCCGGAAACAGGAATCCATACATATGTGCAATTAAAGATTCTGTCTATTTTTAACAATAGTCTCCGTTTCATTAGAATAAATAAGTCGAAAACATCACCGTTGGGTCGAGCTTTATTATTCATGCAAGCCACAACGGTCTTTTGGCCTTGCAATTAAACTTTTGTCCGCTGAATTTAATTATTTTCCCCAAAACTAACGTTATACATATCGTTGGGTTAAAAGCTGTACAGTAAAATCTTGAAATCAAATCACTTTCCCTTGGAAATATATTTTCAGTCACATACTATCGGGTTATAAATATAAATCTCAACATCTCTGAATCCTACGATTTCAAGATAGCTGGCTTCATTTGTACGTCATCAAAACTATCCACAATAATTAATTAAAGATGAGATCTCCACCTTTCGATTTGTATTCAAATTAACACTACAGCAGTATTTTTAAGTTGAGATTGCTTGATAAGTGTGCCAGCTTGACTAATTGATCTGGTTAGGAACCCCTGGCTACTGTCAGATCGCATGAAACGGCAACTCCCACGAAACAAATTCTAATTTCTAAACACTATAAAACCATTACAGAAACTAACGCCTGGGGTTTAATTTTTTATATATATACAATTTTATAATGGTTTTCTTTAGCTTCTTAGTTGATACTGTGTCAAAACGGGCGCTAAAGCAACACTCGAACTGGAAGATTCCTTTTTTCCACTTCCTTGCAGGTTCGCAGTGTTGGAAAAGCGTTTTTTAAGCTGATAAGCTCGCCTGTATCGCCATGAAGGACTAAAACGGCGGGAAAATGCGCATCGCGCCAAGATACATTTTAGCGCCACTTTGTAACGCGGAAGGCGGAGAGTGCACAAAAATGGATTGAAAGCGCAATTGGCCTGAAACAAAATAAACAACAGTTTCAAGACCCACCAATTTTTCTGACAAAGTTTGCAGTAGTCAAAAATCTGCATCATCAGAAACCAGGGCATGGTACACGCGAGGAATACCACGAGCATGAAAGCGAGCGTCAGTGTTACTTTCCTTTCACGCTCCGACGCTTGGACAACAAAAACGTCGTCTGAATTTACACTCAGTCGTTTCAACTTGCTTGTTTGTCGTCGAAGCGAATAGACGATATGGCCGAAGAGGGCGGTTGTGATGACCAAAACTAAATCGACGTGACCACAGAAGACCTCATTTCTGAACGCTTCTCCCCAGTTCCGTATTACAAAGATGAGCAAGGCACAGTAACTGCACACAAAGACAACGCTGAAATAAACTTTTTTCTTGGTGATTCTTTGAGAGTACTGGATTGGTCGCGACACTGCTGTATGTCGGTCGAACGTTAGCAGCATTAAGAGAAGCATGGAGCAGAGAAGTAGATATGCTGTGGCACTCTGCATGTCTTTTCTGTTTATAGAGGATTTCTTTCCAAAGGCTATCGACAGATTATAATAAGCATCTGTCGGCTCCAGGGCGCTCCCGACCAGGAAATCTACCAAAGCCAGGCTAGCGACAAGAAGGCTTGTTGGGGATGGGCGAAGACATTTCTTTGGATCTTTCAGAAACAGGAAAATCACGAGACCGTTGGAAAAAGCTGTGATCAACGCCATTGAAATGTCGAGTATACCTCTCGTCAAGTAAACTTTGTAAATGAACTCACGATGCATATGCCAGCTGCCTTTCAAAAGCGAAGACGATTTTGTAGCATTAGACAGCGTTGAGTTTGTGGCGTTGAAATCCATGTCTTCTGCTCGACCCACAGGAGACTTCTGTCTGGGTTCCGTCGTTTTATCAGTCTTCTGTTTTGTTGTTTCGTCAGTTTTATACCTTTCTTGATCAATCAATCACATTCTGTTTCCTGCTGCATATTCGTTTCAATGTTTTAAAGTAACCGCGACCGACTTTTGTCTTGCTTTGTCAACTTGTCATTCAAAAATTTATCAATCTCGATAAAGTATATGAAATTATCGGAAATTAGGCCGCAACAGAACACTTAAAAGCAGGTGAACGTTTGATGGAAAATGACTCCTCTGAGACAGCTCGTGGAAAAATAGGTTTTCTGCGATAACAAAATATAGATACAAGTATTAGAGGCCGAAACAAAACAGTCCGAGGCCTTATTAAATAGTACGACAAGTTACCGATCTAACCCTGCAAAGTTTGATAGATTTGAGCTGGCGATATCGAAATCTTGATTTATAAAGACGGCGTGAAGATCCCCTCCTATCAAAATATCTTCAGGGTACAGACGATGCCGCCTTAATACTGATTTTTCAAAAATTGTTTTCAAAGTTCAAAAGATTCAATTTGCTTCATTTCAGTTTAATTTGTTCCCTATATATTTTGTAGTAATAACATATATGCTTGGGGCAACTGAATTAAAGCGCGCTTCCCCGCGACCGTTTCGTTTTCGTGGTCCAAATATTAATTGACCAAAACTTATGTGGTTTTAGGATATTCTTTAGCAGGAGCAGGAAGTTAGATCCGAGTAATAACCGTTATAAAAAAGTTATTTTTTTGTTTTAAAACTGGCTACTAGCGAATAACAAAATATCTTTCAAGAGTTGGCGGTATTTTCATGAGATGCATGAGGTCGCTATTTTTTTAGGTCAGAAGTTAGCTCGGAAGTTAATAATTGTTTTTATAAGTAAAATTAAAAAGTGGTCTTCCTGCCAACTTGCTTTTCTCTTTTCTTGCTTTCGTATATATACACTTTGTTTCGTTGCGTGTCAGCTTAAGATGAAATGTCTGGATTTTACTAAAATAACAGCGATAAGGATATTTTGACGAAGAAACATAATTCAGTCATGTGGGAGGGCATCGATTGGAGTCAACACTAATGACTTGGAAAAATTGCCTGGGTCTATTTCGCACTAAATATTGAACGGTGTGCTCCAACAAACTGGAATGATTCAAGTAACTTACTTTGTCGCGCTCGTGTCTGTAGCTCTGAAATGGTCTTTCTTGGGTTTTAAGTACAAGGTACAATCAAGTTATCTATCTTGAAGGGTTTTTTTGCTAGTGTACAGAAAGCATACAAATTGTCGTGCGTGTGTCAAAAATGAACAATAAAAATCCTTTCCTTTACTTCAACTACTGATGTAAATTGTAATTGCTGTCTGCAAATTGGAAGTAAACACAAACTTGATAGCCTTCGGCTCTTCCTGAAGACGTCTTTCTCTCCAAACTGTGGACTACTTCAGATGGCCGCTGGCGTAATTAGCGGCGACAACAGATCAAGCACTGACGTAGCTTCGCAATTTTGTTTTTTTTTTGGTTTACTAATATTCTCAAAATATCAAAGAAAACTGAGAGTTTCAAGTAATAGTCTAGTAAGATTTTTTTTTTCCTTTTTCCTGTGTGTGGTGCTCCCACGCATTATATCTCGTAACGGGATGCGAAAGCGTGATAACATCTGACAAAAGCAATAATTAAAAATACATATTTCAAAGAAAAAAAAATGAGCACTTTTATACTGGTATCGCAACATTTTTTAAAAACAGACAATGGTAACTCGAGGTTTGAAAGTCGCTAAAGTCAAGCAATTTTCACCATCAACGATTTTCGATGGTAATTTGAAAATTTTATTCTCGAGGTCTCATTTAATTGTTGGAAGATTTAAGCTAAAGCTTTCAAACGGCTGCCTTCCGTAGTCGAAACAAATTACGATTGGGCACTCAAAAACCTTCATCTGTCCGAGAAACTCTACGCAATCATGTATTCAATTTCATTTCTATGTTTTTCAATCTTCTTTTTAGAAGGCAACTTGCTGTTGTTTTCTCTGTATTCAACTTGTATTTGAAGAGGATAAGACTTTTGTTATCTTTTGAACTGACTGTACCGACATAGCTAGTCTGATACAGTCCAATCGCTTACTTATTTATTCAGGTGGGTGTGAGTGGCTGTAGGTACTGCACACCTGTCCTGCTGACACTGCGTGAGAAGCAGAACTCATGGAGACATAGGTTTTGTTTATATGCAGTATCGTAGCAAGGAATAAGTCAATCTGCCTTGCTTCTACATGCACTTGACGTAGAAAGTCAATAACCAAATCCATTTCCCAGCCCAGTTCCCCTCTTCTCCAAACTCGGTTCTCTAGTCTTCGTTCCTTACTGCGCAAGTTTGAAGAGAGTTCCGTTGCAGGCTTGACTTTGATTGGTTTTAAAAACAATTCAAAATGAGCGGAAGTAAAGACCAGTGACTCAATTTAGTCACGTGTTTGTCAGTTAGGCATGCGCAATTCAACTGTAAGTTCTTTGCTCGTTTCCCGACCGCTGGTCAAGGGGAACGAAGACTCTGGGTACGAAGTTATCACTTCTACTGCATCCGGTAGGGCCGCTGGGGCTCGGAACACGAGATCAGAGCCTGTGTGGTGAAATAAAGGAGATATTTTCACATGATCTGGTTCGTCGTGTCAACCAATCAAATCTTGTAAATTGCAGATTAATATCAGAGGTGAAAGAGAAATTACCAAACACAGCTGAGGAAGGGGAATTTCTACTCGCTGGTGCCCTCTTCACTACTCACTTGATCTTCCGGCCTCAACAAAAAAATTTTCAGATTAGACCACAATGCAGTTCACCAAACTACGCAACCGCGAATTCTTTCTCAATCACCAAACTGCAATTTTATTCAATTTCCATGCTAATCAAATGGCTATTAATTATCTCTTGAAATAAATGTTTCGTCCCTTTTGTATTTGTAGTGCAAAAAAGTGGAGGCTATGATTCAGTCAAAACACTTAACATAACAAAGGACAGGAAAGCAGACGAATTAAAAGCACAAAGACAGACATCACTGAAGGGAGTTTTCTATTCAGGCTAGATTTGAAATATCTGTCAACATGATTTCATCGTAGTTCACCTCAGCAGAACCTAGCTAAGGTAATGTTTGATTTCACCTTTAAAGAAAAAAAATTCAACGAGTTTTCAAATAACACATTTACTGTCTACTGGATCTAGCTGGAACACAGAACTCTCTCAAGTGATGTAATTCAAAGTATAATGATCGACTTCTTCCTTTTTAAAATTCAATTTGTTTTCAAATCAGTCATTACTAGCCACTGATGTTTGAGGGAGAAGTCTTCCCGGCCGAAACGCAGTCTGTTCAAACCTACATGTCATTCTCCCTAGCTCGACGTCCCATTTAAATTCGATTCGTGAATTTTAAGCCTCTTCTTGAATCTTTGTCGACGTCGGCGAGGTAATAAGAAAAAAACAGTCACCCACAGGGATGTGCTTCCAGTAAGTTAGTTAAGCAAGATAATGTATTTTAAAATGAGATTTACCAGTAATTATACCCTTACTTGTAACGTGTACATTTTCTTTACTGTTATCCAGGTGGTTAGAGTTGTTGTTCTTATGCACTGACACTTGGAATCTCTTTTTTCACTTTTATCTCTCTTCATCTTTTGTACTGTAGATGTATTCTGATCTGTTCTTTAAATGTAATGATGTAAATTTCAATTATCTTTTTGCGTTCCTTATCCGGCATCTTGTGTTGAATCGTTACTGATTTTTGTTTGACCAGTTGTACTTGGAAATTACACCTTCTTTGAGTTTTACCGATAATTAATTTTCTCATGCAAACAGACCAAATTGAAACTTTCTGCCTGAAATGCGATCTGATTTTTTTCCTTTCCTCTTGCTTCTCGTTCTGTCGACAAGAGACGATTACATTATAGTCTCTTGCTGTCGAGGAATCAAACGAAACAAAATCATTGGGTTGCACTTGTGAAAGCTAAAAATGGTCCTTTTTTTGGCTTTTTCTCGTAAAAAAAATCGTATCAAAATTATATTACGAAATTTACATTTTGATTAATCTGTTAATTATTTGACCATAATTTCATGGAATTTCGAGGAACATATACATTGTCAATTATTTCTGTAATCAGCATTTCAGCTTTGAATGAGACTGCAGTGATAAATTTTTAACCAGATTTCCGCATGAAATAAGAGATTCGTTAGTGGTTATATTTTCTTTCGAGTTAATGAACAAAAGTATTAGTTTCTAAACTGAAATCATTGAGCTGCGTATGCAGGCAAATAAAAGACAGTACTTACCTATATTTATCGAAGGTAAATTAACCGCTGTACTAAGTTAGTGAAGCAGACGTTTTGTGTGCTAGCCCCTGACCAGAGCAAAGTGCAGATACCGGACTTTTTAAGGGGGTGGTGGTTGGTACATTGGGGTTGTAGAATCAATGGAGCACGCCCCCCAAATGTTGCAATTTGAGAATTTTAATATTGAAAACTGCTACACCAGAAATACTAGTAATGCGGCAAAGTAGAAATTACAATGAGGTACCTGTCCAGAGGGTTTGTCTTTTTTTCTGCAATCATTGTTATAATCTTTATTGATTTTTATTTTATTTTTGCTTCTCCATATGAGGGATGGCTAGCCACCCAATCCACCCCTTCCCCCCCCCCCCTAAAATAATTTTTTCTTCTTGAGCCAGTTTTTGTAACCTGTCATTTCCAATCACGTGACTGGAGCCAATCGATCGGATCCGATAGAAGCCGAAGCCAGAGTAGTCAGAGTAAGGCTTGATACTGATCGCCTCGGGGTCGGAAAACGGGAAAACTACAAACTATGACCACGATTAAACAACAATATGTATTTTTTTTTATTCAGAAATATTTCCGGAAACCTGCGTCTTTAGGGTATTGGATTTGTAGCCGTCTACACCAAAAGGTTTTCAAATTCCCAGTCATTTAAATCCAGGAACATTCAAACTAAAAGGTTACCCTGGAGACGGAAAAATATCCGGATTCATTTGACAAATTTGTTTGCAGTGAAAAACATTGCTGGATTAACATTTTGCAGACAGAAATTATCACTTAAGATTTTGGTTCCTCAAATTCTCCAGAAATTGACGCGTCCAAACCAGGCCGTTTTCATTTCGGATTCGCCTACCAGTGTCAGAAACGGCGAAACGAATTCGGTATCCAAACATTTGCCACGAATCAGGAATTATTTTTTAGTGTGAACGGGAATCGAACCCGCAAACAGAGCACTGTTTTTAGGGTGATTTTCAAGATTTTTTACGGCTAATATGACGCAGGAAAACAACGTTAAATTAGCTAGTGCTATTTCTGAAGTAAGTCTTGCTCAGCGCCTAGCGGGATCATTGTCCTGCTGTGAGGCATAATTTTATTTCCTATCCGAATTATTATCGTTGCGTTGTGACTGTTGTGAGCACGATATATTTTTGAAGCCACTGCTCTTAGAAAATAAGAAAATAAGAAACAGCTGTTTCAGTTGTAGAGCACAATTTAACAAAAGGTATAAAAAACAGTTTGCACATTTCATTTTAGAGTAATTTGAAAGTACTTTTGCGCGCAGTGCAACCCCCTAGTGTACTCTCCAAGACTAAGAAAAATAACCAAAAATTTGGGATAAAAAAAGCACCAGTTTCGTGACTTGTGGGGGTTTTGTCATCTAGAGGCAATGTGTTGTTTATATTAGGTCCAATTCAATTAAATGAGGAATTTAACGAGGATCATTTTCAGTTATCTAAAGCACGGTGGTGTTTGTATACCCCATGTGGACGTTCGCCTGATGATACAGCTTGCTTTTTCTTGAATTTAGTTTCCTGCGAAATCTCAGTTCCGCAACAGAAACTCTTATTAACCAATAAAGGCAAAATCACCTCTTAGGAAAGTTTTGTGTTTGGTAAAGGGGATTAGCATGCAGTAAGCATGTAAAGACCTTAACAACATATCAGTCAGATTGTTTTCCAGCTTATTCCAAGCATTTATGTCTCTTTTCTGTATTTTAAAAAGATAGATAAGCTTGTCCAAAAACTTGCACTGTATCAGTTTCTGATTTGCCCCTTAGGGCCGAGATAAACGGAGATAATTATAACATAATGCTGTCACTGGTATGTGTATCGGTCAGTTTGAAATGTCTAACACTACGAAGCCAGAAGTGGGTACATATTATTCATCTGTTTTTTTGTATTTTTTTTTTTATCTCAAATCCTTTGTGGATAGGTGATTCAGTTACAAGGTCACCGACGAAAAAATTGGCTGCCAAAATGAAAACATCAACAAATTGTTCCTGAAGATTCATAGGCGTCGCTGAATCTTTTCAGTCTTTTCAGTATTAAATGTCTTAAACGATTAGACCTCTAAAATTGGGATTAGTGATTAAATGATAAAAATAGGACAAGCGTGTGTTTAATGTTCACGTTGAGAGCAGATGATCGCACACACAATACACATTTGTGGAAGGTCAGTAATTCGTGGTCACAATCAATTTTAAAGATCTAAACGTGATGAGACCGCAAATCACCTCAAGAGCGTCGTTTACCACATGTCGCGTTTTACTAATAAAATATTTGCATTCGACTACCCCTTCAGACCGGAGACATTCTACTGCTGACAAAGAACCTTAAATATCGTGCCTTTTTCCGTTCTTTTCAATTCTCGAACCTGCCTGGCAGACAGACATTTCTGGGTGGGTAAATCTGTGACACATGATTGTGATTCCGTAGTACACCGCACCCTTAAAATAAGGCTTTCCGTGTTTATCAAAGCCATCTATCCTGTCAAATAATTAACACTTTTTCATCGTGAACCAGTAAAATCCACAGAAATCCACTAGACAGTTTGCGGCCCACGGCGATTTTAAAATTTAAAGGGGCGAAACAGGAAATTCCATTTTCCATTCGCGCACACAACGTGAAAGTCGTCAAACGTTGTTCGCTGTTTTCCTAACCGTAGCGCATTTACCTGCTGCTAACGTGTTTTCTCTCTGGATATCACTTGGTTCTTGTTGAATCATCAAGCCAAGGTAGACAGTTGTTATTTGGATTTTCTTATTTACCCCAGGGTGTTTATTTTGTTTGCAAATATATCATATCAGAGAAGACGCGCTTAACTTGGAGAGAAACAACACTTAAACCAAAACTGTTACGCATCTTTGCGGAAAAATGATTGTTTATATCATCATGATTGGGCTTATCGACGGCTTTTATCGCAAAGACAAGACGTTGACCTGACATTCATTTACAGATACTATAACTATGATAAATCAGGTCCAGCCAAGCAATTTCACTTCCCTTGCATTGACGCGCAGTGCATGCGAACTATCTTTCTGTAGTCTCGCTCATAAACTAAAGCAATCGATGTTCCATCATCACTGGCGTCTCAACAACATAAACTGATCCCACTAACAACGCGTCTTTTGTTTTCCAGGGTTATAAAAGTTCACGGTGAAACCGCGTCACTATATAAACTGCAGTGAAGAAGCGTCGCACAATTTTGACTTGACAATATGGCTGCAGCGTTCATCTCGATTGTGGTTTTCGTTCTTTTTCAGTCATGCACATGTGCCAACTTCAAAATACCTCCTAACCCTCTCCTGGAAAGCGCTGAGGGTGAGTGAAATTCTTATTTCTTTTCGTTATTTATGGTTATGGAAAATTGTACCAAATATCATGTTTCGCCCTTATGGTGCAGTAAGGTTTGAATGCAATGCAAGATATTACCTAATTGTCTTGTACCATTCCTTAATTTTCCTCTCTCTCAGAAAGGAACTTTTTTGTCATCTGTTTCAGCAATCTCAATATTTCCCCTTGACTATTTAATTTCTGAGTAAATTGGAACATTAAATAACGATCAAATACATTACAGTCTTTATGGTGATTTATATAGCGCGCAAACACTCCAGTAAGACTCCAGTGGTTCTGTAGGAAAATTCGCTTTCGGTTTGGCCATAAAATGAACTGTTTTAAACTAAAACTGTTCGCTATTTGCACTTCCCCAACATTGTGTTTAAACAGCATTTTTTTCAAGTTCTACGCATCACTACTTGCTCATGTTTCATCGCTCCAAAGTTGACCGTTCATTGCATCTCTTGTTGTCGGCTAGGTCATGTTATTCAAGATGACTGTGTTGCATGCAGAACAAAATTATCGTGATACTACGAAGCCGGAAAGGATGACAGATCGTGACGGATATATAGACAGTCAGTGAAAATGTTAACCAAGCGACACAGATCGCACTCCTTCAAAGTTAAATTTCCATCTATGATTGTCATAACGTGGCTGTAATACCAAAACTCGTTGTTAGTCATATAGCCTCTGAAAAATTTCATCTGTAAAGAAATATTTTTAGGTGTACACATGTGAAAACCGTAATCAAAGAATACTGCCTAAAATGATGCAAATAGCGTGATCTTATCTCATGTTACCTCTAGCTCTGAGGGCTGACAAACATCTTCGTCACGGAAGCCGCGTGCCACGATCACGAAAACTTTAGCCAAATCTTAATCATTTATGTATTTTAAAATGTTGTTGTAGCGCTATTTTTTAAAAGAGTGATACAGTAAAAAAGCTGCGTGTAAGAAAAGAACCTGGCGGTTTAAGAAAATGCTGACGGAAATTTGCCATTTTAAACCCAAAAATACCAGACCTTGTTTAGTCAAGCAAGATCACTCAGGTTCTTATATGTGGGTTACAGTTAAATTATGATAAACATTTAACCTAGGAGTGTGACATTGGGATTGCAAATTTATATCACCAGAAAATACATAATACAGTGGTAAATAAATACTGTATATATATTGAAGGCCAAACCCAAGTTTATTTATTTCTCTGTTAATCAACTATATCTCCTTCATAGAAATTAAGAACCTAACTTAGTCTAAATTGCCAATAGCTACCCCACAATACAAGGACCTATTTTGCCAGACTTCCAAAAACGGAGTTTCTTACAAGCGCGTTTTTCCTGTAGGTAGTTTGAGTATGTGCATACATAGCAGAAATGGCCATTTGAAGAAAACTTGACAAGTTCGATGATCGTTGTTTTCTTTTTGTCGACAGGCATGAAGTGTCTGTACGAGGATTCAGTCTACAATCCGTGGCAGCGTTTTGTTAATGAGAAGTGTACTGGGTACTGCACTTGTAACGGGAGGAGTGGTGACGTGGGATGTGTTTCTTTGTGTCCTCCAAGCCCCGTACCTTGGTGCTCCCAGGGAGAGCTCCCTGAGACCCGCAATGAACCGGTTCCGGATATTCTTGACCCACTAGGCAGATGTAGTTGCAAGCGAAAGTCTTGTAACCCACGTCCTAACCTTCCGCCTCCGCCTCCCCTTGGGGGATCTATGGAACATCACGGTGAGTAAATTATATTAGCACCAGCTTTATTGTCCTCACGTTTCACGAGTGGTGGGGCGGCTCCAAAGCAAAATCAAGAACGCTTCCAGCAGGAAACAAGGAACTCAAGGAAATCATGAGAGTATAGCATTAAACGAATTCTATTTTTCATGTGCCATTTCATGATTTCTTTATTTTTTTTATTTTATTTTATTTTATTTTATTTTTTTCCATGTTCTATTTTATGATTCAGTTCATTTTGTACTCTTATTTGGTTATTCTTGCCCGTTATGTTTAATATTCTTGTTCCCCTTTACTTGAAGTCAGAATGTCTGTGCTACCTTAGTCTCTGCATTTTCAACTTAAAAACAGCCTTTTCTAGCTTTTGTATTTTAGAGTTTTATCACTCACGTTTTGTAATGCTTTGTGCATATACAGTTACATATTTTTATCGCTTTTCTAATTCTCATACCTTAAAAGACATGAGAATAGACCATATTTGTATTCTCGGTATTAGACGGCTGGAACTAGCTTGCAACTGAGACTAATGCGGGGAGTCTTTTCAAAAGCAAATAGAATTGATTTCTTTTTAGTGATATTTCCCCTATGAGCCTCCACTGCAAGCTAGTTCCAGTCCAATTCCAGGAATACGAATATCATCTATTAGAAAAGCGATAAAATATGTAAATTTTACCCATAGATACATATATATTTTTAGTCACTGTTTTTGACTTAAAAATGACCTCAAAGAGGTCGCGATGTCGTTTTGAATATATCGCTGGTTTTGATCTTAAAATGTGTTTCGAAGAAACTGCTTATTAGGAAGACACTTTCCTACAGGAAATTGGATGATCGATCGCGCAAAATGCCTGGATATCGTTAATTATTCATAGCCGGCGAAGCGGTAAATTTGAATGTGAACACATGTTGAATAGGTCAGAATAATAGAGAAGGACCCAAATTGGCCAAGTTGAGTCCTGTGAAGAAAATCGCTTTTCTGATTTCCTGAAGTTCTAGCACGGCTTTTGGAAGAGTAATGATTAAACTACAATTTGAGCAGTAAACCAAAGGAGATTTAGAAAGTATAAAGACTATCTCTTGGCAGTTGAAAAACAGCCGAATTGCGTCTCTCTCTTTTCATCATCCACAGTCATCCCAGAGTGCAGAGGCCGCGTTCCAAATGAATGGTTTATAAACGAGAAGTGCACTGGACGGTGTCGTTGCCGGTTGAGTGGCATCGTTTGTGTTTCTCTCTGTGCACAGATGAGAGTCAAATGCTCTTCAGATGCCGAGATGGAAACCTATGACCAGCCAATGGATGATGTGGGCCGATGCACGTGCAAGCGAGAGAGATGCGTGGAAAAAATCGGGGTCTGGTAAGAACGATATCGGGGAGCATCATCACGGGTACTCCCACAAACTGTAGAAAATGGTCCCTCCGTCAGCACAACTAAATCTGTAGATAATGGCCCCTCCGTTAACAGAACTAAAACTGCAAATAGCGGTTCCTTCGTTAACAGAATTTAAACTTTCCTAGGAACTAAGAAGATGGTAGACGGATAATTTTTAATTAATCCATAAATTGTGTTTCCAATCATGAAATTTGTTAACGTAACCCCTTTCCCGTCCTCACAGCTGTTAACCACCCTGAATTTGTTCTACAAAATCGAATTATTCTTGTCGGATTTGGGAAAATTCCTGGGGAGCCTCCCATATAAAAAGTAAGGGGGTGCTCGCCGTATCTTTTAGGGGTTAAAAAAAGCGGTGTGGTACTTCTTAGGGTGTTGAGCCTCATAATGTCCACAGCGGGAGTTTTCACGGAACCTTTTGCGGTACGGTATTAAACGGAAAACAATTGTTGTTTTATTGGTACCTCTGAGGGGTGAAAAAAATTTCAGGCCACGTGGTACCTCTTAGGGGTTCTTTTCAAAATTTTGGACGAGCATCCCTTCCTTTTTATATGGGAGTCCCCCCCCCACCCCGGGGAAGATCCACCTCCTTGTGAAATATCATACATACGATGAGTTCCATTCCATCTCTTAGCTTAGCCATGTTGTTAACGAAAAATACATTCACTAAATGTTTTGCTGATCAATACCAGGGCAGCTGATAATATGCAATGAAAAATACAGTTGCTTTCTGTATACTTTGATAAGCAGGGACAAAAATTTTGTTATGATTTCTTTTTTTTCTGTTCACCATTAAAAAAAAGCGCTAACCTGCTTGCTTGGTTTATTTTTTTGTAGATTGCAACTTTGATGGCCAGAATCCGGCAACATGTCGTGATCAATAGTTTTTGTTAAGAATGAAGAAAGCAGTTACAATTAGAACAGCAGACATTGTAGTATGTAATAATAGTCATAGCTTAGTGCGTTCAGCCCTGCGTAGCTATGTTAAATATCAAATATTATCAAGTATGTTATCGTCATGATTTGATTAATCACTTAATTAGGTTATACTCTGAAGTTTATCAGGACACGCGGACATGATGACTTTACCTGTTTCTCTTGATTAGCTTTATAATTGATGACGGATGTATTCCTGTTAAATGAAAATAAAAAATGCAAGGTAGCCCGAAGTGTTTTCTCTATTGATGATGGACTTCTTCTCTTGGAGTGAAACTTCATGCGCTTAAAGCTGTACACTAAGTGTCCTGTGAACAACAGAACTAATGAACCACTTGAAACAACTATACAGAATAATTTCGTCATTCATTTAAAGCAAATGCGCTATGTATGCGCGCTCATGGAACGAGAAGGTCGCGCGGGAAGTGAGGCTTGTCGAGACAGAAGTGAGGCTTGTCGCGTGAGAAATGAGGCCTGTCGCGCGGGAAGTGAGGCTTGTCGCGCGGGAAGTGAGGTCTGTTGCGCGGGAAGTGAGGCTTGTCGCGCGGGAAGGTTTCTTGCTTGCTCCGCGATCCATGCAAGCGCGGCGTGTCTTTTTATCAGGTTTTCTTCTTTAGACTTTTGCAACAAGGCAGGAATCTTTTCGACAAATCTACATGGAGTATCAGCTGCTTGAAAGTAATGCTTTGTCTTCTCGAGAAAGGAGTCAGAAAAAGGAATGTAATTAGCTATTTTAAAACATTCAGAAAACTGATATGGTAGATCAACTTAGGCTGTGGGTGGACGAGGAACACAGCCCAAGGCAACGAATTTTCAATATAAAAGTGCAAGGATTCAAACAGTATTAGAGTCATAAAGACAACTTCTTCTGTAACAAACCTATGAGCATTTTTACGTTAGAGCAAATCAAAGAGAATTGCATTTAGTCGTCAAAAGTAAGGGCCGCCACGAAGCTCTTCGGAACGTCTCACAGGAATGGCTGAGAAAATGATATACAAACAATGGTAACAAGGGACCCTAGCCCAAAAACAACAGAGTTTCGTGCTGACAAGATCCAATGAAATTAGAGGTTCTAGGGAGCTTCATGATAACAGAAAGTAAATGCCAAGTAATTTCAAATATAAAGTCCATGATATATGAGAAAAGTTCTTTATCCTTGTAACATGTAAACTGTTCTCGATTTTCATTGTTACGGAGACGAAAAGAACGATATTGTGCTGTTTGAAAATTCCAAGGTATTATGTAAATTTAACCTTCTGCTAGAACTGAAATTGCAAAGACAAACCGACCTGTGGGGTTAAAGTATTATAAATTAAACTTGCATAGGTTTTTTCTGAAAAAAGAATCATTTACCTAGACTACACCATAACTGGCTCCACTCCCTTAATTGTCGGAGAAATTTAATTAATTTGATTAAATAGCCTTTTCATTGCACCCTGTGCGTTTGGAAAAAAAAAAAAAACAATAATCTGTAAAATATCAAAATGATCAATTATACCTCCGATATAACATGCTCTGCACGTGATATTATAATTTGAATGTAAACAGTGTCTATTGTGATACTTTCCCTGGGCAAAACTTTGTTTTACTGGAGGTGATTCACACAAAAGCTCGGCCCATAGCGACAACGATTAAATTACATTTGTTTTCTGGCCTGCGAAATCACGGATTTAAAATCAGATTTCAACTGGATTTTTTTCAAGAAGCCATTCTTACTAATGTTTCATGGCAATTTGGATATATCCTGAGTGGGCAATACTTGCCTACTTTGCAATTGTGGTGTAACTCATACAGTAAATATGAATACCGTTATTGAACAGTTTTCCCAATTAAAATGATATTTCTGGTCACGCTGTGAATAATGAAGGGACTTTTTAAAAGTCCCTAACCATGGGTACTTTGTCATATGGTTTTCTTTCTTACCTGTGTAATGATAATAAAATTTGTAAGGGTATTGAAATTGTAACGTGGGGTCTTGACGGAAATAAATATTTCATCTCCGTACCTGTACTGTTCTATTTGCTGCTATTACTTTCACTGTTTTCACCAGATACTAACTTGAACCGAAGGGCTTGTAACGGTAGGTGAAACATATTTCTTCCGCTATAATTTAAAAGTTCATCTTTTTGAGCTTCAAATTGAAAACGTATCCAAGAAGACAGGTCTAGAAATAAGTTTTATCAGTGGATGATTTAGTCAGCTACGGTTTTTGAAATCTTTGTAGACTTTGTAATCTTGTAAACTCACGAAAATAGATTTGGAGTGTTTCAGGAACTGATTATACGTTTAGAATCTCTTCACAAAGTTCTGGAGTTTTGAAAATAGGTTCGCCAAAACCACAGAAACATATCCAAGTCTTCTCTGATTGGAAGTGTAATTAAAACAACACGGTTAAAGAATGCTTTGATTTGAGGTTCAATCGTTGATCACGACTTAAATATCGACCGAGAAAAACCATACTATACTCAGATCTTGAGCACCTAGGGAAAGCTCAATGTCCTTAATTTCAAATCAAGTTTACTAATATGTACATTAAATTATTCAGCCTTTACGTAAGCATTAGAAAGAAAACGATAACATGTAAACTTTTTTTTCGCGGTACTTATGTGTGAAGTTCTTGTTCAAGTCCACGAACTGCTATTGTTTATTTGATTAACAAAGTGACGATCTGAGAAAGTTGTCTCAAACTAGCCAACCTTTCTCAGTGTAATTGAACATGACTCATAATTACGGAGTGATTAAACAATAAGAAAAGGTTTATGCAATTAATACGCATGTTCTCATTCCTTTGTTTTATTTATTTTCACTCTATATAGATATACAATGCGCCTGACAGTCTTAACTACTTTGGCTGTGGTATTTCTTATTGCTCTGGCAGGTCAGTAAGTAACAAGGTCAAACTAACAACCTTATTACCGTAGGTACTCGTGATGTTTATAAACTGGCCCAATTTGAACGTTAAAACAATTGTTTCGGATGTTAATGCATGCATGTCAATCTTGCATGCATTCGGTCCATTCGGGCCTTGACGCAGAAGATGAAAACTTGTTTAGACATTTGAACAGTTTATGCTTCCGCTGACGCTTGTGGAAGATAAGATGTTCGCAGCCTCCTTGACTTTCTATCGTCTAATATCCAACCCGTGCTCGTGGAATAATGACTAGTCTTAATTAAACATGAATTAAAACAATACTCTTTTTCTTTTCAACAGCGGTAGAAGCATGGAGACTTGGATTCTCAAAAAAGTCCAGGGGTAAACTACATACTTTGATATCATCGAGGTCCCGTCCACTACGCCGAAAAATTTGAAAACGTAGCCTTGTTTCTACGGTTAGGCCTCCCGTCCACACCAATCCGTCACGAAAACGGAGCTTTTCGAAAACGCTCTTCAAACTGGAGGAATTTGAAAACGTCGGCTTTGCGTTTCCGTGTGGACGGAAAACATTTTGAAAACGGAGCTTTTCGAGAAGAGTGACGACACGATAATCATGTGATTTCCCTGGGCGAGTTTCCTCAAACACAAATCCAAAATGACCGATGATTGTTGCGTTTTCAAATTTCCCCGCACGGGGCCCAAGTTTGTAGCTCGTTATTCATTTCTGGTCCTTTTTGCTTCGTTATTACCTCAGCAGTGTTCTTTCCATGTTTCTTTCCAGTTACAGGTGATTTTCACACCACAGAAAAGTACTTTGTGTTGACACAGACTCTATAAGAAATCAAGATTTATTTATTTCATATGGGAATCTTGTTCGCCCACTCTTGAAATAAACGGCAAAACGTTTTCTCGAAAACAGTGCCAAGAATTTTGATAACGCCGCTGAAAAGTCGCCGCAAAGATCTCGAAATGTTCGCTTCCAGACAAAAAAAAATACATCTTCGGACGTTCTACCAGTAAGAGGTTTGAAGGTAATTCAAATCCAGGTTTATTCGCAGAATAATGAATACGTAAACTTTTAAATAGGGTAGCCCGTTCAGCTCTAAGGCTGGCCTCTAAAGGGGCCCTGTATCTAAACGTTATACAGATTAAAAGCCTAAAATACAATAATAAAACTTAAGAACATTTACAACCTACTAGCAAAATTATAAGATAGTTATTTAGAAAACACCCTGTAAGATAGCCCGCATTAAGAGCCGTAAATACCGGCACATTAAGTAAACAAGACAAGCCGTGATTCAAACTTAGGTAATGTAATAAATATAGATTATTTGTATTACTCTCTTATGTAATGCAGAGTAACTCTTATCATTCTTTTACTTTATCTTGGTTCTTTGTCTTAATTTCCCCTCACAGGAAAAAAAAGACCTGCTAAACCTGCCAAAACGACAGAATCAACCTCGGAAACAGCAGCCCTGAAATTGTCAGTACCGGAACCAGCAGTCCCAGAATCGGAATCGACCACGGCCCCGACTACGGCCCCGGCCCCGGAATCAGTAGTCCCGGAATTGGAAACCCAGGAACCGGTAGTCCCGGAATCAGCAGTCACGACTACGGCCCCGACTACGGCCCCGGCCCCGGAATCAGTAGTCCCGGAATTGGAAACCCCGGAACCGGTAGTCCCGGAAACAGAAGTCCCCACTCCGGCCCCTACTCCGGCCCCAGCCCCGGAATCAGTAGCCCCGGAATCAGCGGGCCCGGAATCGGGATTCCCGGAATCAGCAGCAAACAACATAAGTAAGTGGAAATCTATTCTTATCAGGTGGCCGCCGTGTTCACAATGCAGCGTTTAACTAGGAACCTTTTGGTCCCCTGTCATCCACTGCTGAGCCAAACGAGCCAGACGAGCCACTCAATATATTGACCTAGGACTTAACGCATATATAGATTATTCCTCGTTCTTTAATCAACTGCCGAGCCAAACGAGCCACTTAATGTATACACCTTAGACTTAACGCATAATAGATTATTCCTCGTTCTTTCATCCACTGCCGAGCCAAACGAGCCAAACGAGCCAAACGACCCACTAAATATATACACCTTCAAGAGTGGCCCTGTATTGTGTAGTTGCTGGATAAAATACCTGTTTTAATAATCTACGTCGAAAATAATTTCCATGTAGACTCATGATTATTCTGATGGTAATCAGTGAAATACACTAGAAAAGGTTTGAATGTGGGTTTTTATATGATTGTGATTTCTCCTTTTTTCGCCCAAAGCACAATCAATATTTGAAAAAGTAGTGGATAACGTGGTTTACTCACTGCAGGGCAGGTAAGTGTGATCCCAGGAAAAGCTGGGGTACGTACCGATCTTCTATTACAGTTCCGCGTACTGGAGTCTCCTATATATATATGATTTTATTATATGGCTGTGTCTAACAAGGACTGGGAACTACAGAATTTACGAAATTGATAATGACTACGGGCAGAAGCCATAATGGCTCCTGCCGTGGGCTAGATTTTCTCATCTTGACCGGCATCTAGACCGGTTACATTTTTCGGTGAAAAAAGTTGCAAACTAAAAAAAAATTTTGACTATTTTCTTCTAAAAAATATCAGTAGAAGTGCCAAAAAGACTGATGAGAAAAAAAGTAAACAAGAGGAGCAAACTTTTAAGATTTAAGTTCAGCTCATCGCCGTTCGCAAGCAATATGTCATCTAGTACAAACTAGTTACATTAAACGAATGAATTTTTTTTTGTTTGCCATATAATAAACATCTTATTAACCGAGCTTACTCGGTCTGTATGGGAGAATCTTGAACTTGGTTTTGTGTACAGACCTCACTGCGTTCAGTCTGTACTCACGACCTCGGCCAAGATTCTTCCATACAGACCTCCTGCTCGGTTAATAGGAGCTAAGAGTAAATCGAAAAAAAGTTTTAAGATATTTTCTCTAAGTAAACGCGCTGCCCCTGGATCATTGAGTTGTGTTCTTGGGCAGACATTTTATTCTCACAGTGCAGCGTCTCCCCCCACCCAGGTTTATAAAGAGATTGCCCTTAAGTTGTTAGATCAACATGTAACAGCCCTGCAATGCAATGGACTAGCATCCCATCCCAGGAGACTAGTGATAAACAAAGTTTATCACCAAAATCTTATATATAAGACCAATGATTCCTCCGACTGAGAGACTGGAGCACAATTTCCCGGGAGATATTTCATATAAAAACGACGGGGGTGCTCATCGCACCCTTAAGGGGTTAAAAAAAAGGGGATTTGTACCTCTCAGGGTGCTCAGCCTCAAAAGGCCCAAAGCGGGAGCTTTTGCAGTACCTTTTAGGGTATTGGGACAAAAAAAAAGTATGACAGGAGATAATGTGTTGTTTTAGAATTGGTACCTCTTAGGGGTGAAAAATATACTTCAAAGGACACTCACAGAGCAGGATCTTTTCTTAGGGGTTCTTTCAAAATTTCCGACGAGTACCCCCTCCCCCTCCCCCTCCGTCCTTTCTATATGGGAGTTCCCCCGGGGTACAATTTACCTTTCCTGTATAATAACATCTAATTAACTTACTTTAAATGCATTCAGAATTTGTCATACTCATGTCCCCGTTTGTTTACTTTGCAGGCGTTAGCCGCCTTGTTCTAGAATAACGTGGATCATGAAAAATAAAATAAAACGAAGAAACAGGAATGATTAGAGATGTGATTAGAGTATAGAAGATGTGGAATAAAGATCCACTAACGAAGGAATGTCTTTTTTTTGTCTTACTTATGTTCAAATCGATTAGTTATTTGTTTTACCAAAGCGTGGGTTAAAGTGACTGGCAACAGTTTCCAGCACTTTCCAAGACGTAGATTTCAGTGATGAGTCATCTTAACCACTCTTTATCAGTTGTCGACACAATCATGGTATCAAAAAAAACTGCCCAATCATTGGTGAACATGTTGTTCTCATTTTTCGTGCCACAATAGGTAGCTAAAAACACCCTTAATTTTAGCTTTAACTCAAAACCTAGCCTTGGTGACCCCTATTTTTATTATTATCAAATTTTGATCAGCCGGATAAAACTCGACTTTTGGCAAAGTTTTAAAAATTCTGTACGTGGGTTTCGAAATTTTAGAAACGTTTTTAAAAGAGGACGCGTATGTTTCCTGTAAGGCCTTCATATAACCAGGACATCGAAGGTTCTTACCACTTTTAAGCTCAGGCATTCTTTGCTTTGCAACGAAGTTTGTTCTTTAAGATCCTTTCGAGTAAAAGAAAGCGCCGTCTGATATTAATACGCCCTCAGCTCCTTCCTCGCCACAGTAATGAAACACAACAGGGTTCGCCTCACAATATCATACAATCATACAAGGTCAAAGGACAAAAGAACTTGTCAACAAAATATGGTTCACAATCTCCTTGCCGCAACTTGACGAAACTGGTAGAACACGTCAGAGGCGCTTGTAAACCATTAACACGACTTGTTTTTTTCTCGATCCAGGTTCCCCTGAGTTTCATGCGCTAATTTAGAGACTCAAAGCTCCCATAAATCACGCGAAACTGACAAAGATTATCACTTTTTATAGACGTTTTTCAATTTCAAAAGCTTATTGGATACATTTAGAAAATATTTGGCGTTGGAAATCAAACAATGTATCAATGATTCTTTGTAACAATATGTTTTAGTTTGTTTTGTATCAGTTTGAACAAAATGAAAGGGGTAAAATTTGCTTTTTAACACTTCAATTTCAACGAGACAACAATATTGCATATTGCGTGCATTTTGTCAAGGACACAAATAAGAAAGGCGATAAAAATGGAGAAAATCTCAAACTTGCGTGACCTTAACAAAAAAGCCGGGCAAAAAAGGTACGGAAACGGAATAATACCACTAATTTGACACTGAATGAATGCATTAAAAGTTAGGGAGGATTTCCAGAAAGCTGCCTGTTGTAATAAAGGATGTAATATTTGACACTGAATGAATGAAGTCAAAGTTCGTGTATTCGCTAAGATTTTTAGAACAGTGCCTGTTGAAGTAAGAGAAGTAAAATGGCAACCTTACACTGATTGTTAATAAGATATTCCAAAAAAATAAACTCATTCATTTCAACTAAGTAATGCTAATAACCAACATCAATCTAAATTGCTTATGGACAATTTGATATCTTTCATGGACTTATTAAACCATTTTAATGATGTTTGCATGATATTACTCAACACAGTTGAACCGTCTTTCGCATTTCATGAGTATTAATATTTTCTAAGCCCTTGTAAACCCTTGCAATGCAATAATTTTGCCCATTCTGAGAAAACATGGGACTTTAAAGCTTCCGAAAATGCGCTTTTACTGAAGTATAATGCAACGTAGACTTAAAAGGATAATACCCTTTGTTATATTTTTGAGTTTGCTTACTAGAGCAGACCGGCTTTTTTCATTTCCACATATTTTATTGAATTACACCCTCGTTAATTTGATCGGCTTTTCGGCAATGTAATATCAGTTTCCATTAAGGAAGGATCTCAACACACTTCTGATTTCCTGCCGCTAATCTGCTTCTATTTAACTTTCATAAAAGACACAAGGCTTTTTTTTTAGGCAACGGGGAAAGGCAATATTCTTAATTAAACTTGAACAGCCTCGAGGCGCATTAAGACAGTCTGAAAATTTGAATAAAAGGCTGCTTTTAATTTCACCACAGTACTCAGCACACACTGATCAAAGCAGAGCAAGGCAAGGTAAGAGGGCTAAGCCGGTCATCTTCTCATCTTCTTATGACCCACTTAAAGATCTGAGCAGGCTAGGCTGAAAAGGGGAAGAGTCAGTATAGAGAATATAACCCATGCATTTATCAAAGTTTGTTAACAAGGTTATAAATATGTTATCAAGGTCATAAGTTAGTTATCAAAGCTTCATTGGTATTCTTAGATCAGATGAAAACAAAGTTGGTAACCAGTAACTGTTAACGTCATTCAAGTCGAAGTTAAAAAGGGTTGCTAAAATGAAGCTGCTTAGTAGAAAGATAATTAAGCAAAGCCAATTATTGCTGATCCTGATGGCAAGGTCAAAACGTGGTTGTCTTGTTCAAATTAACACCACTCCTTTTTCCCTGTGGCTGTAAACATTGAGTACAGTGCAAGCGCAGTATCTCGGGTATTTTGGCATGTTGGCCTGACTTAAGCTTTAGATTCGATGTGTTCGATTTAGTTGTAAGAAAAACATCCCCCATAAAAATCTTCGTTTGGCAGATGAAGATACCGTAACAAACATTGAAAAGTTAATGAAGCTGCAAAAAGATCCCACAGTTTAGGGAAAAAATATTTTCCCTAAAAGTTGAGAAGAAAATCGTTAGTTAACTAATTACAGTAGGGACATTAACACACTGACCAAAAATTGGCAAACGCGTTGAAAAAGGAGCTAGTTTGCCCTTGAAAAACATGAAAGAAATTTTCAGATGTCGCTTGATACAAACTTGTACCTTGATGCTTGCTCATTTACAGCAATGATTCACTTTAGGAGCAAGAAAGAGCCTTGATGAAACAAACATCTAAAGCCGCTAAGCTTTGAATTACCTTTTTGTTTTTGCGCTTGGTCAACGGCAAGATTCATGCACGAACTTGTTTCCTCAACAAGCCTGAAGTATCCTTTACTGTAACAATGATGGGGAGAGGTCGAAAAAAGGCGGAGCAAATTAAAAAACACACACACGCACATTTGATAGGGTACATTTATTGGAAGTAGGGTTCTAAATTGAAAATTGCATAATTACGACTTATTTGTAAGAAGTTAGTCGAAATTTGATAGCGCGTGAGCGCAAAATACACGGAGGAGCACCTATAATGATATTGAATTCACTCAAACCGTATGGAACATTTCTTTTATTTATTCGTTAAAATGTGGCTTCTATTTTCCAGCTGCATAAAATGAACATTGTTTTTTCATTTCGCAGATTAATCCTAAAAATGAAGACGTTAGTAATTGCCTTCTGTGTCACATTTGTGGTCGCTAATTCATTGGCGGGTAAGAACGTTTCATAGCAGTCGAATATTTTTCGGCATTGAATATTTATGGCACATAACAAACACATTGTCGATAGATGGGAAATAGACCAATTTCGATATGTTGAAATTCAGCCAAAAACAATAGACCTCAGTACGAGGCTCTGAGGAATAACTACAGAACTTGTGGAGTTTATTCCCCAGAGCCTCTTGCTGAGGTCTATTGTTTTAGACTGAATTTTAATATATCGAAATTGGTCTATTATTTGCGCTCGGTTTATATCAAGTCAAGAGGCATTTTTTCCTTCTCTTATTTAGGCCCCGCCCATACTACGCCGGAGAAATTTGAACCGCAGCTTTAATTCTACGGTCAGTAGTCGATCCGTTCGCACTTATTCCTCGCGAAAACGGAGCCTTTCGAAAATGCTCTTCAAACCGGAGAAATTTGAAAATGCTGGCTTTGAGTTTTATCGTGGACGGAAAATATTTTGAAAACAGAGCTTTCCGAAAACAATGAGCTGACGATGATCATGTAATTTCCCTACAGGAGTTTTCCTAAAACATAAATCCAAAGTTACCGGTAATTGTTGTGATAATAGTTGTTTTTTGGATGTTTATAAAAGGCTAAAAGTTAATATATATGCGTTTTTATATTCTTCCGGCGTAGTGTGGACGGAAAACATTTGATGCTTTTTCAGAGGGAAACGTCGTTTCAAATTTCTTGGGTGTAATTTGGACGGGGCCTTTAAGTGACGCAACATAAGTAGCCTGACTGCTGTCAGTCATCCCCGCCCTCGGCCTAGTCCCCGGCGAGAGAGGCCGTCTTTTGCCGGGGGACTGGGCTACAACAGCAGTTATTTTACACTTACACAGTTAGTCCTCTTCATCCCGGGAGGGACGTAAGACGTCAACGATCTGTTTCCAACGGGAGAGTCCTTTGCAGCATGTTATGCCTCGCCCCATGTTAAGCCCATCTCTTCCAGCTCGGCTATCACAGTCCGTCTCCAAGTGGTTCTGGGCCGCCCTTGCTTCCTTCTTTTAGGTAGTGTTCTTTCTGAGGGCAGTCTTGAGCATGCCCAAGGGTAAGGACATACCCAAGTCATTACACTTATCGACTGATCCAGCAGCATGAAAAGCATTAAGTGAAAATAAATGATATCATCAAAACACTTTGTGTCCTGCCTCTTTCGTCTGAAGTTCTAGGCAAGCAGGCATTTATGGACGACTCTCAGCTGTCAGACGGCGGAACAGAAAGTATGTAGTATTTTCATCGCTTCTTCTGAAATTAGTTCACATCTCAGGTACGATCAGACAATAATCTCACCTTTTTAAATTTTTGTCTTAACTTCAAAGCACGGCCACGAAAAGGAAAGAGAGGTAAGTGACGTGACTCTCATACATTCATTTAGATTTATATATTATTTATTTATTTATTTATTTATTTACTTATATTGCTCATTTATTTTGCTATGTCATTATTTACCTACTCATTTATATAAAAATGCGTTTAATAGTTTGTTTTATATCTAATACTGAAGGTGTCAAAAATAAATGAAGGACCCTTGGAATCAGTTTATCGATACAAAATAACCAAAAACGTTCTTCTAACAGATCCTGGCCTCCCAATACCGCAAAGCGAGGAACGTGACGAGAACACAGGTAAATGGTGTAATTCGTTTCTTTGTAGCAATTCAGGTGGACTAAAAAAACAATCTTTAACACTTTCAACTTTGTTTTAAAAATCACTCTTTCCTTTCAATATGGCCACAGCGGCTTACATTCCAGCTAGTTAACGTAATGCGTGCAGCAGCTGTTAAGTTTCTGTTCGTTTTGTCCAGAATATCGCAGCACTTTTCCTGAAACGTTTCGAGACTAAGGGCTTGGAGATATACGTTGTGCCTGCCTGCAGGAGAATCACCCTCCATACCAATCCACTTCAGGCGACAGAACGTTTTCGTTGTAGATAGCTAGCAAAGAATTGTTTACATCAGTATTTGCAAAGATTGCTTAAAACTAGAATGACTTTGGATGCACTGTGCGATCACTAGCGTTAATGGTAAGACGGCCCGTTAAGAGGCTCCATCTGGCAATGTTTGGTTCGTCTTACCACTACTAAGGGACCTAAGGGGCAACTCAGGATAAGCAAAACATTTGCTAAACTTTCGGCTCGGTGAGCAGATTAGACAACGCCGGGGGGTAAAATATAACTCAGGAAGGAGAGTAGCTCTGCAGACAGGTGACAGCTGTTCTTCACCTGAACAGGCCCTAGCTTTGCCCACGTGACATAGTTTTCTTTATAACACTGATCATGTCTCTTGTAATGTAAGACTTATGTGCGTTAACTATATGCTGAAATATTTTACAGTAATTTCCGGCTTACTTTTTATTTCAGAGCCAAACAAACAAACCTACTTTAGAGATAGTCCCGGTGGTAACAGTAAGTTTTTTGATTTTATGTCATTTTGTTACACTGAGAAATAAATATCTCACCGTTTTGCAATCTTATTTTTTTCACAGCACGGCCTCGTAAAGGAAAGAGAGGTAGGCATCGTTGCAAAATACCAAGTATAAATTTATTTTTTCATTCATTCGTTATTTAATAGCTAGAGGTCCTAGGGTCAAGCTGTGAAGTCTAAATAATCAAATCTGCCTATAGAGGCTATTTGTCTCTTCCAGGCCTTCATTTAGCCGACTATACCACTTGAAGGGTTCTCTTGATCAGTTTATTTTGTTATGTATTTTAAGTTTGTTTCTTTGTTTCTTTGCTTGCTTGCTTGTTTGTTTATTTATCCTAGCTTATCCTCTTGTGGAGTAAAGTCATTAAATTAAAGGATGAGAAAAGGTGTAAATAAGTGATCGACTCTTGAAACCCGATCAGTTATCGACTTTAACGTTTTCCTAACAGAGCCTGGTCTTCCAATACCGCAAAGTGAGAAGCCATCACGTGACGAGGAAAAAGGTGACTGATGAAATTCGTTGTATGTTGTTATAGCTAGTTACTAGTCAAGAACAATCCCTTAAGTTTCTAACCGTTTTTTTCCGACAAGCCTTTGCTTCTTGCGTTTTGCCTGAACTCCCTATACGGATATATTGCGAGGTATGCCGTTGTTCCATACTCGTTTTGGTCAGAACATCTCAGCAATATTAACACATTTTGATTTTTTTTAGTTGAAAATGAGATGATTTGTTAGTGTTACATGCAAGCTAGAACGTTTTGATGTTCCTACTCGTGATATTTGAAAAGTTTTTTTCAAATTGGATGCGACTTAGAGAATTTTCTTTTTTTTTTCCTACATTTATTTACTCCTGCTTGGGGTCATGCTGTTAGAACAATCAACAAAAGAGACCATTCCAGAATTGTAATGAAAAATAAACACCAATACGGTTAATTGGTCTGAAAATGCCTGAAATCCCATTTCCGACGACCTCAATTCTTAAAAATTTTCCGGGGAAGGATGCCACCCGCACCTCTCTAAAGAGTGCTGCCTTCGTCAGTCCGTATCTCGAAACCCCTTTTCTAAATCGTGTATCCCCCAGATACCTTCATAAACTGGCAGCTGCTTTAAGAATACTCCGCCCTTGACTTCAGAGACCCAGTAGGTTGCCTGAGTGAGAGTCCTTGACGAGTACAGTAGAAAATCCCAGACTCACAGTGCCAACGGGATGGACATTTTAAGTCTTTTTGGGGTAATTGCACTTTATCGCGCATAATGTTTTTGCAGGACATATGTGGTCGGATTTTGATCGGCAGGCAAAGGAAATAGAGAAAGTGCTTAAAGACAGTCGTAAGTTTTCAGAATAATAAATAAAGAACAGAAACAGAATGCCTTACTTATTGTCTAGGTCACTGTTTGTTTGTTAGTTAGTTAGTTTGTTAGTTTGTTAGTTTGTTTGTTTGTTTGTTTGTTTGTGGTTGATTTTTTTGTTTGTTTGTTTATTGTTTTGTCTGTTCGTTTGTCTCTTCGTATCTTTGTTCTTTCAGGTTTTTTCAAAGTTTTGAACAGACGATTTATTCTAAGAGGCTGAAACTTCCAGTAGCTGTTCATTCATTCTCTGCGGAAATTTTGATATGTCAATTACGTGTCCATCATTTTTTACGTTGCCATGGCAACCATCAAATTTCATGTAGGTCTCACCAAAAATCAACTTTTCTGAGATAATTCTGTAGTTTTTTTCTAGTTTTCTTCATCAAATGGCAGAAATCCATAAATTTGTACCTTTCATAAGCATTCTGGCTTGATTTTGTGCAGATTTCCGTTATTTCTTGACTTTTTTAAAAACATAGGGAAATCCAAGGTGGCGGATCCAAGATGGCGAGTCAAATGACGTCATTATCAACAAAAATGGTATCATCTTGTAGAGCAAGTTCAGGGCTATCTAATCAATGTAAATTTATTTCGCTCTGTCTTAACAGAACGAAAACCAAGAGGGGGAGGGGGTGTTCCATCTAGGCCTGTCCCGATTGTGCTAGTAAAATGCTGGAAAGTTGCCCACTGCAATGCCAAAAAGTTGTTTAAAAAATTGCCAAAAATCCAAAAAGATGCTACCTGAATTTCAAAAGTGGCTACCTAAATTTCTTGTTATTTTTAGTAAACGTTAATTAAAAGCCTTATTTTGCGTTCTTCACAATAATTGCTAACACCGGTCAAGAAAAATAGCTTCAAAAAGTTGCTCGCAAATATGGCCGAAATTTAAGGATACTCTTAAGAAGTATAACGGAACAAAACACGTGGTTCATTTGAAGTCTTGCCGAAGTGACAGGTTATATGTTCAGACTTCAAAAACGTTAAAAACATCCGGAAATTTGACTTTTTCGTGCTTGAGATGTGCTTTAAACCTATATTTTGCTCAAAAGTTGCTCAGAAAGGCAAAACATGCTCGAGGTTGCTAGAACCGCAAAAAGTTGCTCCAAACGCCAAAAGTTGCTCAAAAGTTGTCGAGCACAACCAGGACATTGTACCACGGTGGGGGTATGAGTTAGCTTGTACGTCCGAGGGTTAACTAAACCTTGTCCATTTCAACAGAAATCACGCGCAGAACGTTTCAGAAGAGACAAGGTAAGCCAAAGCTTTTAATTGGAACATGTGCATTTTCTACTAACTCAGATCAGTACCGCTCAGTCAAGATCGAGCACTGTTTGATTTTTGTCTGTTCGTTCGTCCCTTCCTTTCTCATATGCCATGTATTTGGTATATTAAAGTATTCGTTCATGTTTAGCGTGTGTGTATCGAGTTATGGATGCACGCGGAAAATTTGGAGACTACGAGAAAAGTATTAAAATTTCTCGAGACGCAGCCTAGAGCAACTCTAGCTTCTTGAGTGCTCCACAAACTTCCCAAGGGCATCCATAACTCGAGAGACGCATAGCTAAAAGCATGAACCAATTCCTTTAACATAACGACTTCAACTTGGGAGTAAAACGTGTTTTATTTGCGATTGACTATATACAAAGTTGTCAAAATGCACAGTGAAGGAAAACAAAGCATGCAATTGGCTGGTCAAAAACACTCCACAATCAGTTGAATGACAGTTGAACGAAAGCGGTTCATCTGGTTTCTAAAATTATCAATAAAAAATTTGCTTCTTCGATTTGATGAAAATGTAGGCAAACAAAGTCACAATACCGGCTCAAGTTGTAGTAAACAGTACTCCTTAGTTTGGTAAAACTCAAAGGCCCGAGGAAGAGTTTAGTTTATTCAGAATGATGTGCACATGGCTGAGACCTTAACAAATGAAACTCGCAGCTAAACTCGACGGAAATTTTACAGCTAAAATGATAAATTTTATAAATTTTGTTGCTGTTTGCTTGCATTTCCTCTTTACTCATGTTTGTTAACTAAATCTTGTCCATTTCAACAGAGAACTCTCACAAAAGGTTTCAGAAGAGACAAGGTAAATTAGCATTTTTTCGGAATGTGTGCAGCTTTTTAATACTAACTCAGTACCGCTCGGTATGTATTTTATGAATTTGCTAAACTCCAGATGTTATCTATTATGCCTTGTCGCATTTCTGTGCGGTTTATACTCTGGCTTTTCACAACCACTTCGATAAATAACTGTGAACTATTGTTTTTCTTTTTGTTTAGCTGTCACTGGTAAAGCCAAGAGTGTATGGGAGGACTTTGTCGACGCCTTGCAGATGTAAAACAAAACGGAAAAAGGTCAAACTGGTTTCCTGATTTATAACTATCGAAACTTACTGTTTATGACTGCATGAATCACATGCGCCTGGTCAACCTCTTTTCCAGAGCCCTTTCTGTCACTTGGCGGAAGGGCGGGAATCAAAATGAAGGTTTCCGGGGCGTTTCTCGAATCCCAAGTGACCGCGATCGCCTACTGAGATCCGATTATATGACTAAATTTGTTAGGATAACCAAAATAACGAGTGTGAAATCAAGCAAGGCCGCAAATGTTTAACGAACTGATTTAAGAAAGCGAGTTAGAGACTAAGAGTTGACAACAGGTCAAGAAAAGTATAGTAAACTACTGGCTTTCTTGACCCTATATAAACCATTCTTAGCATAAATTAATGCACAGTAGTTTAATCTTATTTTTTTTTCTCTCAGGAATAAAAGCACGATAGTTCAGGAAGCTTGATCTATTTTCAGTAGCTTTACTTTATTTATATTAGAGTTGTTATAGCAGTAAAGACTTATGACAATCAGAGATATACTGTACGTACGAAAATAAAATTGTGCCGGTTCTTCAAAACCTCAGTTGTATTCTCTTTTTTTCTGAGCATTTTATGGAATCCGAATGTGGATTTCGTTCTAAGCATTCGCACATGGATGCGAGTGAAACAACATAGGGACTCCTTATACGGCACTGATGGCGATGAAATCCTGTTAGAGGGTTCAATCAGAGTTTAGGCATCATCTGGGTGTTCTACTTTAAATATTAACTGTTACGTCCTAGGGTACGTTTTCAAATTAAAGCAAGGCATAAATAAGCAATGCTACTTGCCACATAATAATCTGCGTGAGGAATGTTCGAGGGATTGAGCTATAGGATAAGAATCTGCTTTGGTGCATGCAACTTTTAGGGGTAAAATAAATTAAATCCTACACCCTACAAAGAATTAATTTGATACATTTTAGGGTAAATTAAAAAAAAAGCTTCAATGAGCATCTTAGTCAGTCCTATGCATAGGAGGTTTAATCCTGGAGCGGAGGTGGGAATAGTCATTAACGTGTTTTACAGTTATTGTACCTTTTGGACGATTTCAGGCCTCAGTAAATCAAACCACATGAATAGGAAGTGCAACGAAAGTAATGATTATGCAACCACACCCCTTAATTTTTAAACTAGATATGTCTATTTTCCATTGTAAACCCTAATTCCACACTAAAGCAACTTACTATTTTATAGAAAAAACTCACGAACCCTTACCCTGAACTGGGGAATCTCTCTTTTGGTTGACTTCTGTCCATGAACCACGGGGGTATTGGGCTTGGCTCTTTTGGTTGGGTACAAGCGTATTTTGTTAGTTGACCATACCACAGTTGGATCAATACGTTTCCAAGCTCAATCCGGAAAATTGATTTAAAGTTTGTCTGTCTCTGGCTCAATTTCAAAGCGGCTGGTGTGGGAACCATTCAACGAAACAGTGAGGATCGAAATGCACCAATCGCACGGTTGAAAACCGACAAATCACAGTGGAGCATCGTGCTTTATATAGGTGAAGCTTAATCAGTGAATCTACATTGTGAGACAAACGATTTTGTTATACCTTCCAACTCAAATACGTTTTCCGATTGGAAGAGTACGTGTCACGTGTCGTGGGTCAAAACTGACTAACTTCCTAGGGCGAACAAAACTCACTAACTCCCTAGGGAAACAGCAACTCGAACTTTCGACTCGCATGTGATCAGGTCGTGCTCCTTGAAACCGCGGCAAATTTGCGAGCAAGCCGGTGTCAAGCAAACGATTTCTTCCCTTTTTTTTTTTTCCATTTTTGAGTTGGGAGGTATAACAGAACGCTTAATGACTGGTCTCGCGGAAAACAGGGAAACAAAACTCACTGTTTCGCTTGGGGCCAGTCGGCTAGTCATTAAGGTGGCTCAAAACACTTTTACCTTGTACTTGTACCTTTCATTGTGTCTAAGTCATAAATTAAGGTTGCACTGTCCTGTTACCCAGCAACAAACTTGACCCACTTTTTACCATCAATTGCATCTATCTTAAAAACTAAGCCGGTGACCCCATATTTTTTTTTATGGGAAACTATCATCAACTCTTCTCTCACGAATCCTCTCAGAGGACCATCCTTCATATAATATAAAACCGGTTCATTTTTCTTTACCAAAGATCTTTCAATCTTATAAACTTTTAATGACAGGCTCACTAATACATAATACTCTCAAGCTCGCGATTCACGATGTTGAACTATGCGTCTGACAAAATGAAGATATGACATTTTACTTCACCTGATCCTGAAGTCTTCCTATTCATGGTCAACTGAACACCATCTTTAGTATTCACTAATCTCGATCCTGAACCATGAAGATCGTTTTCTTTCATGCTCCTTAAATCAACGAACAAAGCGAAGCTGTCTCCGGCATAGAATTCACTCGGTGTCATCGAACTGTTCTCTTTTCCGAACTTTCTATATACCTCTTCCTACATGTCTCTCGTTTTCATTCCCTGGCTGAAAACTTTATTCGGGATTCCATTCACGGTTACTTTCACTTGAGTGATGTCAGGATTGAATGTCTCCTCACTGTCTCTCGCTCCTTCCGCGTATGGCTCGTAAAACAATAACAACAATCCTTTCATCGATCTTCTTGGACCGTTGCTGCTTTCACTGATGATTGAATCCGTTCCCTTCGTTATTGAGATGGTCTTGTGATGAGTTAAATGCTCATACATAAATCTTGTCCCATTTTTATAATTTGACAAAGCCCTTTCCGCGAGATCTTTACTGTCAATGACTTCATACTCAAGCTGGATATTTGTCAATTCATATCCTAACTTGGTTGGATTATGAGCAGATCCCCTGACGACACTCCCAGTGGGAGCGAGACTCATTTCGAAGGCTAACTCATCACTCAATGCCCCTGGGAAGAATACTCCATGATCATCCAGAATATCATGATCAATTGGAATCCTATACTTATTCCCATATACAATCATTGAGTTTGTTCTCCTTGGCTACTCCCGAAGTCTTCTTGTCTCCGGCATTGCATCTGATCTTTGAGAGATCTTCAGACTGAATTCCTTCCGCTATAAGACTCGCTCTCCCTTTTTCAGTCAAGAAGAGGTCTTCATAGAGTTTGATTAGGTCATAACCATCTGTGTCCTGTAGAATCTCTCCCGCGAATTTAACGGTCATTCGATTCACCAAATTAAAGCTCTCGACATATTGTTCACGAGAAAGTTATTCGCCTGACCGCTCACTGTCAAGTTGAAGACTAACGCGAGGGATCCCGGAACCAACACTGCTCCATCATCAAGCTTTGGAACGGGGGTGTGAAGTATTTCACCCGGTGATGTCTTGTTTGGATTGAATGTGACTCGATGAACAGTTCTATCCGCTTTTAACGCGTTCGATGTCTTCTTTTCGTGAGAAGGGTTGTTCATTTCACTAACTTCCATTTTTAATTGTCGTAATATTATATTTCAATATTCAAAATGACTGAGTTTGGAGACACGGATCCTCCAATAAAACATAATGATGATGATGACGATGATGATGGAGACAATATCAATCCTTTCCAACCTTCATCATCACCTCCTGGTCCTTCAGGAGAAGATATTCGTTTGACAATGATGAACAGAGAGAGAGAAAAAGGACCATCAACCGCAGAAACTTCTTTCATTGAGGAAAATCCCGCCGTTTCACGCGTACTCGCTTCAAATGAAGAGGCTTGGGACTCTCTTACAGGGGTTTTTCCCGAAGCAAAAGCTACAGAACTGGAAGCTTCTTATAGTAAAACAGGAAGATTGCAGGTGAAGATGTCTGGTCAAGGCAAGAAGACATATAACTTATATACTGAAGACAGACAAACTGGAAAACAAGGGTTAAACCCTAATCTAACGAAAGAAATAAAAAAATGCTCGTGGTACAGAGAGTGAACAAGTGTTGATTGCTCAAAAAGATAAAGAAATTGAGGAGCTGGATAAATCTATTCAAAAAGATAAAGAAATATTAGGAGATGAAAATATAACGAGTGTAGAATTGAGAGAAAGGGTAAGAGATAGAATTAATGAAAATATACAAAGGCGGGATGAAATAATGAATGAGAGAAATGAGAGACTCCCACTCAGAGAGAGAGAGTGAAGAACATCTTCAAAAAGTATGGATTCACAGTGACGGCCGTTGTCTTAGCTGTTGGAGTGATAGGAGTGATTGTCAGCTCATTAACGAAAGGTCGCCAAAGGAGTGGGAGACGGTCTCAAGGCACTCGGGAAGAAGATAGCACAAATTCTACCAAGCCTCATAGGCTCCATAGTGGGATTCATACTCAAGACCGCTGGATCGGTGATTCAATTCCTTGGATAGAATGCATGGCTTCTTATCCTCGGAGTCGCAGTTTTCATGGTTGAGCGGATGCAGCGGCGATTTAGAAAGAATAAGTGACTTAATCAATGATTAAGTTATTTCATTCGATAAATGAGGAATGCTGAAACGGCCGCCGCGATGAAAACACCAGCTTTTAACATTTCATGACTCGATTCGCTCTCTTGAGTCGCTTTTCTACTTTCACTATTTCTCAAGTTTTGCGTCTCAATATTCCCTGAGCTTTGCTTCTCACTGTCGTTCACACTCCGGTGAATTGGATTGGAAGGATGAGAAGTCGGTCTTTTGATCTTTGATTCACCGCCACTCACACTATCATTCACTCCGAGTTTCATGTCAGCGGTTGCCTTCTTCAAATCATTATTATATCCAGTCACGCTCTGAGTATTAATCTCAAGATCCGAAGGCATCAACCATGAATCCGGTGACACCGCGAGATCGAGTCTGACTTTTGCCTCATCAATTGCGAGTTGAAGTCTTTGAAAACTCTTGCTGATTTCAGGCCCGCGTATCGCATCTTCCATCAACGTTAAAAATTCACTCTGAGTCTCCTTTGCAGACCCTTCGTTCCCGAGA